TTAGCCACCTGTCAACGCCCACTCCTTCACATTGTCTCTTCGATAGGTGCTATTTCCCTCAAAGTAACAAGCACAACTACTGAGTTACATGATTTTTGGCATATTTTTTATTACCGTTCGTTCTGATCCAGCTCCTGAAGCATTCCCTTCCTCATCTTGCGAGGCATTTCCATATGAATGTTGCTCAATGTTCAGTTAGTCCTGGAATTCAGAATATTTGCGTTAGCTTATTCGAGTATTCTCGTTCCTTATTACCTTGATGTATTTTCCTAACGACTCTTCTTTCTTTAAAAGAAATCGACACGTTTTTGTAATTTTGGAAGTCCGGACTCAATATCTTAAACTTCGAACTAACAATCACTTTTGTTCACCATTTCGTGACTATTCAAATTCAGCATTGAGCAAGACTCTACCTCATTTTGTCATGAAAATTCCATCTGTTTATTTTATTTAACGTTTTGTTTTTCAGTTTTCCCGATACCTTTACCTCAAAGCGGTGCATTTAACCCAAGCACTTCGAGTTCAGCTGAGAATTTATTATTTAAACTTTTATTGCATACCGACTAAGATTCTACTTCTCATTGACATCGAAGGTCTTTCACTTTCATTGCTAAACCGTTCATTGCCTTTTATATCGATATGTATCTACATGTCTACAGTGAGCAGAGTTTCGTCTAAAGTCATAACTTCGTAATTCTCAACAAGGATATCCGGTCACTTTTTTAGACTGCTGTTGGGACAGTCTTTAGAGTTTGCCGTAAACTATGGAAAGCTCAACACATAGCAGTCAGGACACAAAGTCGAACACTGAATCTCATTATATTCTACCATTAGTCATTATAGGGAACATCATAAAAAAAGTTAGATGCATGTTCTAGTAGTACAATTTAGTGTGATTGATATCAGGGAAAGTAATTAGAACAAAAAAACTCTAGCTCCTTAAAATTGTTCTTGGACCTTACACTCTTCGATAAGCCTAACCTAACACTCATGATTAACAGGATACTTGGTAGCATTACTACCAAGGTTTTTGAAAAATCATATCATGCAACTCAAAAGTATAGAAAGCTGTTGGAGTAGAACGTCTTTAAAGCTAAAACTAAGGTTGCTTAAAGAATGCAAGATGCTTAAGATGTCATGTCTGGCTTGGGAAGATATCTTTGAAATTTGACTCACGTCTTACTGAAGTGTACACCACTACAAATGCCGATAAATTTCTGAACTTAAGAAAGAAAATTACATCAAACGCATAATTTGTGTGCATGAAGATATAGCCATGTAAAGCTTCCTGTCGGCATTAACCTAAAGCTAGAAGTAATCAGACCCTAGCAACAGATGAGACCAGTGGTAACAGCAATGAAGTTAATCCAATGACATCTATAGCTCTTAAACATTTTCTCAATTCCAAGGTTTATCTAAACCGTTCAAACAAGAATTTTTACTTGCTGAGTCGTCGGTCCACCTTTTTCGTTTCCTTTTTTCCCTTCCAGATTCTTGTGGCCACCACTAAACTCACAATGCTCTACGCGCCCCTGTAACAAATACCTGTCGGCAGATGAAAACGTATCAACAGTTGGTCGCTACAAACTTATCATAAATAATTAGAACAGTCAATCTATAAAATATCTCTTAAAAAGTGGGCACCCCGCTTTTGCGAAAGGTGGTGGAAAGACAAATCAACATCGATTTTAAACGAAGAACAAAGACAAGCAAGAGAACAAGGGGTAAAACTCACAATAAAATAACAGAAGTGCTCTTAGACCATAAAAATCACAAAATTAGACACTCATCCGTCGAGTATGCTTCAAAATATCGTCCCTCCTACATTCTCCAAGTCAACTTCTGGATTCCCGAAACTAGTGATACAACGTAAACATTCTGCTTGATACGGCTTATGGAATCAAAAGTTCAGAAAACGGTGCAAATAAAGTGGGGGAGACCAGTCGTCTATCACATTGCTGTGCACCTTCTTGGCTCTAAAATCATGTTAGGTTCGAAATAAATAAATGAACAGTGAAAGTATCTAAATGATGACTAAATAATCTTTTAAAGAGTCAGCGGGTGACTTTAGTTCTCTCTCTGATGATGACCACCAGTAACTAACTAGCTCGGAGTTCCTAGCTTAATTAGTAACAGACAGATACGTTAACATTCTTTCCCCCGTATAACTCTGAGCACCTATCACCATATGTGTTTTCTAATCTATCTATTGTTATAAGTACTCACATGTAGGTAAGGTACTGATTAGCTAGGTACTATCACACATGGATTTACGTAGGACTAGTCAAGTGTTGGGGAAAAGTGACACAACCAGACCCTTACAGTTGTTAGGTCTGAGTATCACTTTACTAGGTGTGTCCCAGTTGTTTTCATGCATATATATATATATTTTTTGAGGCCAGTATTTAGTGAGGTCTAATTTTATTTCTTTTGCTTACGTCCATGCTGTTAAATCTTGCCCGTTGTCTCCGGTCAAATCAGCTCATTCATTGTCCTGTGACTCTTCCCATGTCCGAACCAAATAGTCAATACTATCTAGCTTCCTACTTCTTGGGCACAAAGACCGTAAACCTGGTTCTCCCATGTGGGAGTTCAATTCGCACTCAGGTGAACTACCCAACAAGAAACTAAATCAGAGAACATAATGGAAGGGATTTACGATGCGCTTCATAAAACTACCCAAACCTGTGTAACCTCCTCAAACAAGCCATCACGAAATGTGTTGGTCTGACTGGTCAGCAATAGGTGGAGGAACTTCCTTGAGATGTTCACCTAGCACACCCAAATACTGCATCGGATGTGACAGTTTGTTTCCGATTTCAAGGTTGACGATGCCCTTCTTAAATAGCTGTGGCTTCAACGCCTTCCACAGTCGCTTCAAGGCATCCTTACACCTTCCCATCAGCCTTCATTGATGGAACTAACTGAGACTATGGACAGAGTGATAGAAGTAACTTGAAGGCGACTCACACTGGCACCAGCTATCGAGACGACAACTGGTACCAGCCCTATTGCAGATGTATGCCCATTATGCAGCTCTTCAAATTTTACCCCTATTGTTCTTATTACTAAGTTGTATAGAAGGCTGTACACCATCCGCAAGGAGATAAAGGAACATAAGCTGACATGCGATCATGTTTCTCGCTCAAGTTCGTGATCAGTCACAAAAAATCGTCGCGTTATTTCACAAACAAGGGACTCTCAACATGGAACTTGTTGGTATCACAGACACTATGATACCAATGAGGAAAAGTGCAATAAACTGTGTACATTTGACGCCAAGCCGTCGAGAAACGTGTTGGCTGGCACGTCATCGCAACTAACGCCACTGGCGAACACGTTGCCTGCTGCCTCCTTCACATAGCTGGCCTCCGTTCAGGAATACGCTTCCCGGTAGATACTGGGGCTGAGGCTGGCATAATCTGCCCACCACCGAATTCTTTACAACTTCGTGCTCCCAACAGTTTGCTCATCACAACATACGGTCGTAAGTTACTTGACTTTAACCGTAGACTACGCCGTTGCGTTTTCATTATTGCTGTCGTTACCACTGGCTTAGTCAGTATGAATCTCTTACAGCACTATCATCTGCTGGTAGGTGCAAACAGGTAAAAGTAGTATGATTCTACTACAACACCAATACTCTTTCTGTCAGCCCAGTGAATTCCAACCCTAACATCCCTCGCTGCTATGCTTCCATCGTCCATTTCATTTCCTGATATTTTCAGGCCAACATCTTGAGTAACGTCTAACGTTTCGCATCATGTAACGACAACAGGTCAACGAGTTTTGAAAAACCTCGGCGTTTATCTCAAGACAAACTGCAAGCCTTTAAGGCTGATTTCGGACATATGTTTGAAGTGGATGTGACTAGACTCTACAAGTCTATGGACTTCTCCTTTGCACATAGTTCCGAAGGAAAGTGGCATGAACTGGTAGCCTTGTAGGGACCATCAATGTTTCAACGTCAAAACGATTCCAAATCGTTACCCAGTGGCAAATACACACGTTTTGACTGCTACTGCGCGACGGTCTTCAGCAAAACTGGCCTGATGCATCCTAGCATCAAATAGCCGTACATCTGGATGATGTCCTGAAGACAGCAATCATTGCACCGTTCATCCCGTTTTAATTTCTCCGCATGCCTTTCGGACTATGGAATGCCGCACACTTCTCAGCGTTTCGTCCGTGACGTCTTACGCGTTCTAAATTTTGTCTATCCCAACCCCAACGATATCCTTACCACGAGTCCAGACAAGGATGGCAATCGCACTCACTTGCAGGAAGTATTCGCAGGGCTTGCAAAACACTAAGTTTCTGTCAGTCTAACCAAGTGCCAGCTGACCAGCCTGTTGATACATAAATGTAAAACTTTCAGCACGACCCCCGAGGCATTTGAAGAATTCTGCAAGATCGAAAACGCGATGATGATGGCTGTAATGTTGGTTAAACAAGGTGCAGACCTTCCTCTTAGTATTGCTATTGACCCCTTTAACATGGTTGTCGAGGCTATGTTGCAACAACTTCCTTATTACACTTGGATTTCAAGTGCTTCTGGGCAGAATATTTACCTATCGCTTATAACTGCCTATGACTTCTTCCGACCTATCAACATGTAAATCTTATTCGATGAATCATACTAACTCGGTGCCCAAGTTTTCTCAATCTATCCAGTCCGCTGTTAGTCAGGATACGTTCAAATATACTACTTATATACATATCAGTAGCACAGACTACAGTATAACACATGTGCAAAAAGAGAACAGAAGATACTTATAAAGAGATATAAATCATACTGAAAAGTAACTTTATTAATGCAACCAAATCAAGTAATACAGGTAAATGAATAATTCAGTTCTTTGTACCTCAGAAAACAGCTGCAAAAAATATGATCATAGGAATACTGTGTACACATAAGGTAATAAGCAGAAACATCAATCATCTATATGACGATGTTTAGCAGAGTTTTGTACAGTTATTATGTGTTGAGATAGAAAAAATCAGAAAATGTGCTGAAGTAGCACTATATCATCCAATCCGATTGGTTCACCGTCAACTGAACCAGAATCCTCTGATTCCGCATTACTATTGATAGATAAACGCTTATAATTCAACGGTAAAAGATTTTGATTAGTGTCCAGTGCAGCACATCGACATTGACATCCACTAACTGGACATTCTTTGAAATGACCTATATCATTTGAATTAGATAATGAATCTCCATAGAACCAATCAATTAAATGACTAGCATGACCACCATGTCTACACGCTTGACACCAAACAAACCAATCAGCTATAGCTGAAGAGTTGGCCAGTAATGAAGATTTCCGACTAGATCTACAGAATAAACATTACAGATCTACAGAATAAACACCATGATGAAATAATTTTTTAAAGTTTAAAAAAAATTAGTGCTTTTGACCAGAGATGGTTTTGATGCTAGATATTTATTATTATTATTAGTCCCTTGGGTTCCTAGTGGAACATAGGGCTTCAGTAGCACGTCTCCATTCTACTCTGTTCTCTGAGATCTTTTGAACTTGGCTCCACGACAGCCCACAAGCTCTCATTTCCTCCTCGCACCACCTCCTCCATGTCACCCTCACCTCGGACACCCAACTCGTCGCTTCCATGGGGATTCCACTCGAGTACCTGGCCTGACGCATGATGTCCTCAGTCGGCCTTCTCAGTGCATGCCCAATCCATCTCCACTTCCTTCCAGTGCATATTTGTTCAGCGATAGGTTCTTGCTTTGTTGGTTCGTTCCCACAGCTCCTTGTTGCTTATTCTTTCTGGCCATCTCCACTGATCTTCAGTAGCGAGCTAGCGTAAGCAGTTGTTGATGAATGTCTATAGTTTATTGGAAATCCCTTTCGTGACGCCCTAAGTCTCTGAACCATACAGAAGCACTGACTTGACGTTGGTGTTGAAAATCCGTATCTTGCTCCGCATGCTGAATGCAGATCTCCACACTGGTTTCAGGCTAATGAACACCTGTCTTGCTTTTCCGATTCTGACTTTGACATCTTCGTCTGTCCCGCCTGTAGTTGAGACAGTGCTTCCTAGATAGGTGAAGGAGGTTACTTCCTTTAAGTTTCTCCCGTTGATGGTGACTGGAGTTTGTTGTTGTTGTTGATGGTGGTGATGCGGTATCTTCATCACTTCTGTCTTCTCTATATTCACTTGAAGTCCCGTCTTCGCTGCCTCTTCTGTCAACTTGTTAGTTTTCGCCTGTGCTAGATATTTACTAAGATATTGTTTGAATGAAACCCTAGTGGTCTAGTAGATAAGGGTCCTGAGTTTACGTCTGAGTGAGGACACTATCACTCACTGAGTATCCACCCAACGTGTCCCAAATAAGATGAAACATGCGTCTTGGATACCACTGTTAACCACCATCTAACAAATACCATTAAAATGAACACTCCGTGAATTTTTGCTCAAGATGCTTTCAAGTCTGATAATATCGAAAACTGAAGTTATCTATTGATAATGGTAATTTACCTTTGCTATACTGGACTGAACTGATCGACTTCTGTTGGCAGATGAGTTTCTGTGCGGATGCCTTGCTACTGCCCGGATATGGATCACATTTTAGTCTATTTGGTGGTCAGCAGTGAAATCGAAGATGCACGTCTCGTCCTGTTTAGGACTCGTCAGCTGGGTTTATCTCCACCCTACCGAGCGGTGGCGTTCCAACTGAGACTTCAACTCAGTACCCATCGCTTAAAACGCAAGAATCAGAATCCAATGATAACCACCAAATAGACTACAATATAGTCAGAGGTGATGAAGATACCCAAACAACAACACCAATAACAACAAGCACCAATCACCATCAACGGAAGTAATCTAAACGAAGTTGTCTGTCTCACCTACCCACCTAAGCAGCATCTACTCAACTACAGGCGGCACAGGCACAAATGAGGATGTCAAAGCCATGGTCGGAAAGAGAACATGACAGGCATCCATTAATCTGAAATAATCAATGTAGAGATCTACTGTACTGTACTCAGCATAAAGCGTGAACAATATCCGGATTTTCAACACTAATTCAGTCAAGTAAGTCAGTGCTTGCTTCTATGTGATGGTTGAGAGACTTGGCATGTTACGAAAAGCATTTCCAATAAAATACAGAAATTCATCAACAGCTGCCTACGCTTGATACTGAAGATCAGATGATCAGAAAGAATAAGCAACAACGAACTCTGGGAACAAACCAACCGAGAACCTATCGTCCAACAAATATGCAGTAGAATAAAGTGGAGATGGATTGGGCATACACTGAGAAAACCATTCGGGGACATCACGGGCTATGCCAGGCCGTCGAGTGGAATCCAAATGGGAAACGACAAGTTGCGTGTCCTAGTCGAGGCTAACATGGAGGAGATCGTATGAGGAGGAAATGAAAGGTTGTGGGCAGTGGTGGACCCAGGTTCAAAAGACTGTAGAGAAGAGAGTGAAATGCCGACGTGCTACTGAAGCTCTATGTTCCACCAGGAACCCAAGGGACAAATAATAATAATAAATAGTCAATATGCGATCAGTATTAAGGCATCCGTATAAGAGTCCATCTGTCAACAGAGGGCAAGAATTTCAACCAGTATGGCAACGGGAAACTACCAGTATCAGTAAGCAACAACTGATACGCGCTGCACAAGAGGTGGCGTGCATGATTCAGTAGTCTAGTGGATAATGCTATAGTGTTTCAAACAATGAGTGCTGCGTCTGAGACTGAGTGAGGATGCTATCACTCAGTAGGTTGAAGGTACGTCCAAGTGATAAGTTCTAATAGAACGAAATGCATATCCTGGGTTCCATTGCTAGTCATCTAATACACTACAAGACTAAATTTATATCTTAAAGAAATCCAAAAATATATGTATGTATAGTAGCGTTTTATTCTGCTGCTTAGATATGAAAAAGTAATTGGCTAAACTTTTATGTTTAAATGAAGTAAAAGTGATTCATGAAATTCGTTGTTGTAAAAGAAATAACTTACGAATGTATATTTTTCGGATTACCCTTACTCACAGGACCCTCAGGTAGTGAAACTGTTGCGCCTGTAATACTGACTTGCAAAGCTTTGATAAAATCAACCGATAACTCAGGTGCTGATGATAAAGCTATTTGTCGTAGCATTGATTCCCCTCTTGCAGCAGTGGACATTGTCATATGTTCATTCAAAGGAATCGATGTACCCAAATGCATTAAACATATTGAACATCTGGGTAGAGGTTTCCTGCAACGTTGACAAATTGTTTGTTTACCACCACCACCATGCATTTGTAGGCCAGAGGTTGTTGAAGAACATGTTGGATTATCCGTGATGGATGAATTAGTAATACTACTATTACTACTACCACCACCACCACCTAGTAGAAATGCTATTGGTCACAGGATTGTTTCCAGTACCACTTGTACAACTATTGACAGTACATGTTATTGATGACATATTCAACTTGTAACTTTGAGGCTCTAAACGCCAACCACAGAAACCGCAAGCGACAAAGACCTTATTTAAAAGAAAACAGGGAAAACATTTACTGAACTGGATCGAAATGCTAAGAATTAGTGTATCGGGAATCAGAAATTCTATTGTTGGCATTTATATCATAATTGGTCAATGGAAATAACTCTTATCAATATGATCATATAGTTTAGATTTGCCCCAATGATTTTGATCAAACTGATAAACTGCTGTCTATAGTTTTAACATGAATACACCTAACAGACTAGTTTATTAACTTGCCTTTGTAGTTGGAAGTCAGCACGTAATAAAAACTGATCAACACATTATGTATGCTTATGAGCAATAAAATGTCGAATTATCAACCAGCAGAAAATCACACTGTGCGTGGGTGTATGTGGAGTTGTGACTCACTGGTTTAAGGAGATGAGTATCAATCAATTGGCCACGAGTTCCAGCACCGCTCCATTGACCGATGTAATATCACTAGTCCTTACATTGCTCATTGCCTACTGCACAAATGTGCACCAGGTGGTTGAGTAAATGTCTCTTCTTTATTACATAAAGTAAGTTAATACAACAAATGAAACAGCATTCTATCATAGTGACCAAGTACTACTGTTACATTAATGAACCACCTGAGTTGACTGTGATATATGTTATGTATGATGAACCAATACCTGATGCAATTTGTGATGCTAACTTGAATAGATGAAGTTGGGTTAGTATACTGAGTCACGTATGGTAATTTGTAGGCTATCCAGATCGAGTTCATTATCCTCTCAGTTTCCGATGAAAACACCCTAGAAGATATGGATTTCACAGATTACTTGTGCCTGTGTGTCGCACAAGCTCGAAGATCTACAGGCGAAAACTAACAAGTTGGCAGAAGAGGCAGTGAAACGAAGACGGGACTTCCTTCAGGTGAACGTAGAGAAGACAGAGGTGAGGACCATGTCAACAACAACAACAAGCATAAATCACCATCAATGGGAATGTTCTAAAGTAAGTTGTCTCTTTCACCTACAACTATCTAGGCAGCATCGTTTCAACTACAGGTGGCACAAGCACACATCAGGATGTCACACCAACCAGGATCAAAAACACAGCAAGACAGACCTTCCTGCATTAATCTGAAATAATCAGTGTCGAGATCTAGTCCACTCAACTACACTCCAATCAGCATAAAGCCTAAACAACATTCGGATTTTCAACACTAATTCAGTCAATTAAGTCAGTGCTTGCTTCTATGTGATGGTTGAGAGGCTTGACATGTTACGAAAAGCATTTCCCACAAACTACTGGTATACATCAACACATGCTGTCTACGCTCACTCGATACTGATACTGAAGATCAGATGGCGAGAATAATAATAATAATAGGCAACAAGGAACTCTGGCTGACTGGCAACGAACCAACGAAGCAAGAACCTATAGCCTGACAAATATGCAGTAGAAGAAAGTGGGGATGGACTGGACTATACATAGACTGAGAGGACGGTTTGGGGACATCATGCATCAGGCCATCGAGTAGAACCTAAATGCGAAACGACGAGTTGGGCGTCCTAGTCGAGGGTGAAATGGAGATCATGTAAAAAAAAAAAAGAAAGCTTGTGAGCAGTCGTGCAGCCAGGTTAAAAAAATTGCAGAGAACAGAGTGAAATGGTGACGTGCTACTGAAGCCCTATGTTCCACTAGGAACCTAAAAGACAAACAATAATTTTTTTAAAAATCCTCCTGGTTTCGTAATCAAAACAAAAAATGAAACTAATTAGAGAAAATACGCACGTTAATGAGTAAAACCAAAAGCTGTTTGATACAACAAAGTGATGAGACATATATAAACTGTAGAGCTTAGAATAATAGCTTAGGAATAGACAAGATCCATAGAATAATTCATAAAATCCAATGAATAGGCACTTAGGAGGTATCCTCAACGTTTCACCACGTAAATCAAATGCCAAACAATAAAATAAATCCGTGTAGGTAACACAATATCACGAAATCATCATCATCACCAATACTTGAGTGCTGATCTAGTTGTGGGGGGTGGCTGACACTCCCCGGCTGCCTACACCATGGAATGCTGTTTCTTCTCAAGGTACCTGAAAGAGATTTGTGTGACCGCACAGCCCATCGGACACCTGCTTGAGGCTTGTCATACGCAGTCTTTTGTGCATGGTTGTTTTGGGGCCGGATGGTCGGAAAGAAACGACAAATGAAACAACATCCCCGGTCCAGTAGACCATGGGGTGTGGTGGAGTGTGTTATTTTGGGGTCTACCTTTTCTACCCCCCACCCATGGCACCGCTGACACAACCCATTCAGCTAGTAGCAGTACAACTTCACCCTCAGATCCCCTCCCCTCCCATCATAGTATAGTAATTTACACCTTAAAGGTAACTACTTTTCGTCTAACCACTATCCAACAGACATTTCTGGTATGGTAGGACCTCGAGAGAACAAGCGTTCCACCGGCATAGCTCGTTGGGTCACTGTGATATCACGAAATAACACCAGAAGAAGAATTTTGAATCAAGTGTAATGTGTTCTAAGCGCAGAAGATTATCCATTGTCAAAGACAACTCCAACGAAAAGAAATATATCGCATTCGTATTTCAATTTCATCAGCGTAACTCAAGTAAAGGATAACAGAAAGGCATGAAACATAAAATATACGTAATTCACTTACTTGATTAGCACCAGCTACCAATCCAATATTTCGAACTTTACAACTATGTGCTACATTAGCAGTATTCATTGTGGAGGTGGTAGTAATAGCGGTAGTGGTAGCCATATCAGATTCGATAGTTTTCGATGACATCAATAATGAACTGGACATTTGATTTCGAGAATTACTTGTTGACGACATGTAATCAGATAAAATACGTGATTTATACGTAATATCAAAATCAGCTCGACAGAACCACATTTGCCACTGATCTAATAGATCACGATAACTGAAGAAACAGTCAATAATGGTGATGAATATTCACAAATCGATTTACTTAGTTAACAGGAAATTGATGTAAATAAGAAAATTATTCAAGAAATAAAATCCAAATATATGTATATATATATATATATATATATATATATATATATATATATATGACCAGATAAAAGAGATGAATGACACCCATTTGGGTTTGAAGGGATAAATAGTTTGGACTCATCATCATCATTATCAACATAGGACCAGGCATTACTGCGTAACGGTCCGAGTTGCCACACCTCATATCAGCATATCAAGTAAAAAGGTAATGAGGTGAAGGATGAAGATAAGTGAATGCAGTCAAAAGAAATATAAAGTACGAGAAGAAAGGAAAGAGGAGTGGCAAAATGGTGAGATTCGGTATAGCGTTGTTAAGATGAGGATAATGTGTGTATACATCTGCACCACTGACATCCGTTCTGAGCCATATCACCTAGGGTCTCCAACCACTGGTTCCTCTTGTCCCGTGGACCCCAACCACCTAGTCTGCATCGTCCTACATGGCTTAAACCAACAGTCACAGACTTCATACATTGGTGCCATGTTTTAGTGTGGCCACCTTGGGCCTTTTTCCAGCCTGGACCCACCTCAGCCAACATTGTGTGATGAGGCAATCGGTGACTAGGCATACGTAGTAAATAGTTTGGACTGCAATTGTTAACCCGAATGCGTTCTAAGGAGTTGTTCAGTCAAAAAAATAACCATATCTGCTGTATACATGAATATAAATTCATGCTACTTATACAAAGGTAGTGGAGAGAATAAATGTAGAGGCATAGGAAGTACTAAAGAGAATAACTTGCCTTTTTCATTAGGAAAAAACAACAGTTGATCAGTACAATTTAATTAAAGGGAGGGAGGGGGGGGGGGAAAGAAGAAAACCCATAGCAATTCCATCTGTTTGACCGTAGATAACATCGTTGAAGGTGTATCTGAGCAGCAGTTCATTTACGTCTGAAGTAAATATTCCTATGCTCAAGTTGTTGTCATTTATATATTTGCATAGGAAACATATCGTCTCAATGAGGTGGTAATTTAGTGAAGAGAAATTCTACGTCGAGTGATAACATGTTTTCCAGTTACTTTCAAATCAATGAATCCAAAAGTGTCATGTAGAGAGTAGCTGGATAGCTGTTTTCTTACGGGATCAACGATTTAGGAAAGCCAGTTTGCAATGGGATGGTAAGGTGATCCCAACATATCCAAAATTGGATGAATTGTCACGCAAGCTTTATGAACTTTCGGTAAAACTATCAAGTACAGTAATTAATTATCCTGGAATTAGGGTGGCATTTAAACCAACAAACTCACTTAGAAGTAAGCTTTGTCGGCTAAAAGATCCGATAGAACCAATTAAGCAAAATAATATAATCTACCAAATTCCATGTAATGACTATGAAGTCAAATACATAGGTCAAACTAGCCGGTCGGGGTCAGTTAGATTAACAGAACATAGGAATTTAGCTAAACATAGAACGGCAGACCCCAATAAGATCAATAACCTAGAAAAACACTCGGCCATTGCATTACACTCATTAACACACAACCACACAATAGGATGGGACAAAACCATTGTACTTCAGTCTAATATAGCTAGGTGGAGAGAGAGAGAGAGAGAGATTAATTACTGAATCTTTTTCATCGAATCCACAACCAACACATGTAGTAGGAATGACGCAACACCTATACCAGAGATATGGAAAACTTTACTACCAATCAAAAAACAAAGAGAGATCAGGTGACAGGACTATAAAATCAGATATTGAAATAAGTGTGATTACATTGATATGATTATGTGCAGTAATAATTTATGCTCGAAACGTAATCAAGTAAATAATACTGTATCACTGTGCGCTATATCAAATAAACAAATCTAATATGGAATTATCCTGTTGGTTTGAGGCATTTATAAAAATCTTCTACAAAGATTTGCAATAATTGAACACTTTGTCAACACTGATCACAACATTACAATTGATTTAGAATTCAGAATCATTTACAGGGTGAAAAGAAATTTGCCTAAAGTGGTGTGTTTCAGCCATCTCTCTGCGACTCAACCTGCTGTTGCTTCCCTTGATGATCACGCTTTATCTTGAAAATTAGTTTTACATACTATACAACTTTAATTTTTATGCGATTAGTATAAGTGTACAACTGGGGTACTGAAGTAGATTTTAATTCCATATCAGATTTGTTTATTTGATTTATAACACATAGTAAGTAATACCAGTATTATTCACTAGATGTTGTTTAGAGCATTGATTACTTATCGCTCATAATCGTATTAGTGTAATCACACTACTTTTGACATCTAATTTTTGTATTCTTGTCACCCAGCTCATATTGTCTGTTTCTATTGGTAGTAAAATTTTCCATATATCTCGTATAAGTGTTGCGTCTATATTGGACTTAAGTACAGTGGTTTTATCTCACCTTATTGTTTGGTTGAACCTCGACTTTGAGAAGGCCTTTGACAGCGTCGACCGAGAAGTAATTTGGAAACTGCTTCATTACTACGGAGTACCGCAAACCTTTATCCGCCTCATTCAACAACTATATGAAGACGCCACATACCAGTCAAGTAATTCACAATGGGAAGCTAGCTCAGTGATGCTTTTGAAGTGAAGTGAAGACAGGAGTGAAACAAGGTTGTCTACTATCAACCATGATATTCCTGATTGTGGTCGACTGGACTGGATCATGCAGCAAACAGTGGGGAGCTGTGAGAAGAGGGGGATACGCTGGACTGCGGAAAAGAACCTAGAAGATCTGGATTTCGCCGCCGACGACTTGTGCCTGATGTCACACAAACTTGAAGATCAACAGGCAAAAACTAACAAGTTGACAGAGGCAGAGGGCAGCGAAGACGGGACTTCAAGTGAATATAGAGAAGACAGAAGTGATGAAGATACCGCACCAACAACTCCAACAACAACAAATTCCAGTCACCATCAACGGGAGGAACTTAAAGGAAGTAACCTCTTTCACCTATCTAGGCAGAACTGTTTCAACTACAGGCGGGCACAGACGAGGATGTCAAAGTCAGAATCGGAAAAGCAAGACAGGTGTTCATTAGCCTGAAACCAGTGTGGAGATCTTCTGCACTCAGCATAAAGCGTGAACAACATCCGGATTTTCAACACCAACGTCAAGTCAGTGCTTCTATATGGTTCAGAGACTTGGCGCGTCACGAAAGGGATTTCCAATAAACTACAGACATTCATCAACAACTGCCTACGTTGGCTGGTTACTGAAGATCAGATGGATTGCCAGAAAGAATAAGCAACAAGGAACTCTGGTATGGCGACGAACCAACGAAGCAAGAAGCTATCGCTGAACAAATATGCACTGGAAGGAAGTGGAGATGGATTGGGCATAGAGTGAGAAGGCCGACTGGGGACATCACGCGTCAGGCCAGGTACTCGAGTGGAATCCCCATGAGAAGCGACGAGTTGGAGGTCCGAGGTGAGGGTGACATGGAGGAGGTCGTGCGAGGAAGAAATGAGAGCTTGTGGGCTGTCGTGGAGCCAGGTTCAAAAGATCTCAGAGAACAGAGTAGAATGGAGACGTGCTACTGAAGCCCTATGTTCCACTAGGAACCCAAGGGACTAATAATATGATAATAATAAATTGTTTGGTTGAGTTGATGCATGCACTGTAATAGCTAAGTTTTTTTCTACATTTCTGAATTTATTCGGGTCTGTCATTTTATATATTTATCTTAATTCCTATGTTCGGCTATTTGGAACATATCGACAATTTCCTCATACATGTAAACTCAGTAGTGGGCTCAATTCAATTCACTCACATGGAGGTAAAAAATGAACAATGAGAATTACCTATGTTGGATTGTAGGATAAAACGAAGGACAGACGGTGGTTTGGATACTACCGTCTACAGAAAACCGATACATTGTAACAGGTATCTAGACTTCAAGTCTTCTCATTCAATGTCAGTTAGTGAAGGCAGGTTTAGTCAAATGTCCTAATGAGAGAGCTAGGAGATTGACTAATCAGTGAAATGACCTAAATGAGGAACTGAAGCACATAAAATAAACACTAATAGTTAATAATTATCCTCCACAGTCGGTTAAGAAATTCGTACAAATACATAAGAAACGAAAAGATAAAATTAACACAAGTATGGATAATAACGACAACATGAGTAGAAAGGAGTTCACAGCCTCCATTGTGTTACCCTACCCTAAGGTACATCACAAACTTTACATGGGATCCTCAGCAAAGCTGGAATTAGGGTGGCATTTAAACTTACAAATTCACTCAGAGATAAGCTCTATTGGCTGGCCTAAGGATCCGACAGTACCAATTCAACAAAATAATCTAATCTGCCAAATTTCATGCAATGACTGTGAGGTCAATTACATAGGTCAAACAAGCCGATCTGGGTCACTTAGAATAGCTGAATATAGGAATTTAGCCAGATATAGAATGACAAACCCGAATAAGATCAATAATCTAGAAAATAACTCGGCTATTGCATTGCATACATTAACACACAACCACACAATAGGGTGGGTGGGACAAAGCCACTGTACTGTACTGTCCAATATAATTAGGTGGATATTGAGATAGATTACTGAATCTTTGTTCAATGAATCAACATCCAGCCAACACATGTAGCAGGAATGACGCAACACCTATACCAGATATATGGAACCTTGTTCACTCCTGTCTTCACTTCACTTCAAAAGCATCACTGAGCTAGCTTCCCATTGTGAATTACTTGACTAGTATGTGGCATCTTCATATAGTTGTTGAATGAGGTGATAAAGGTTTGCGGTACTCCGTAGTATTGAAGTAGTTTCCAAATTACTTCTCGGTCGACGCTGTCAAAGGCCTTCTCAAAGTCGAGGTTCAACCAAACAATAAGGTGAGATAAAACCACTGTACTTAAGTCCAATATAGACGCAACACCTATACCAGATATATGGAAAATTTTACTACCAATAGAAACAGATAATATGAGCTGGGTGACAAGAATACAAAAATTAGATGTCAAAAGTAGTGTGATTACACTAATATGATTACAAGCGATAAGTAATTAGTACTCTGAACATCATCTAGCGAATAATACTGGTATGACTTACTATGCGTTATAAATCAAATAAACAAATCTGATATGGAGTTTATCCGTTAATTATATTGGTTTCTATGATCTTTTGTGAATAATTTTCATCTTGCATCAAACTTGTGAATTTTTAATCTTCATTCAACTTAATCTTTGTCACTAGGTTGAATTATATAGTTCTTGTAACTATTCAATATAAATTGGTTGGTTGTGGCTAGCAGAAGAATCTAGGATGCACGTTCCGTCCTATTTGGGACTCGTCAGCCGGATGTACCTGCACTCCAGTGATTTTGTTCCCACTGGGACTCGAACCTCGCACCCATAGCTTCAAACGCCAAGGCGTTCTCTACTATGCCACGGAGGAACGATAGCCACTTCTTGTACAACGGGTAGTAGTTATTACTATTATTGACAAACTTGTTATACAAGTATAATCTTCCCGACACATTTGGTTTTGTTCACTGTATCGGAGATATCAACGTAATGGGTAAGCGTATGATATCGCTTGATGTTTGTTCTTTATTTACCAATGTTCCACTTGTTGAAACCGTTTGTTATCTATGCGATTACATTGATTCTAATAATATTAACATTGGATTACCTACGAGCCACCTAAAAGAACTAATATTGAGATGTACGTTTAATGTACAGTTTAGATTCAATGATATAATTTATAATCAGACGGACGGCGTTGCAATGGGGTCTCCACTAGGCCCTGTTCTGGCCGATATCTTAATGGCAAAGCTGGAAAACGGGCCCCTTTAAAAAATAATTTCGGAACTTTATTTGATACTTGACTAACCAGCGAAAAACAGAAGATAAAGGCAGGGTTATGACGGTAATGAAGACACCTTATATTGATCTTGGTGACTGTAAAAGAAATCCAGGACGCGTGTTTCGTCCTATTTGGGACTCAGTAGTCAGCTGGATGTACCTGCACCCAGTGAGTGATGTTGTTCCCACTAAGGCTCAAACCCAGTACCCTTAGCTTCTTCAAACGCAGGAGCGTTGTCCACAGTAGCCACCTTATTTGACAAAACTAGATCATTTATATTCAGTTCTCCTCACAAGCTAAAGATCACTGGGTGAAAAATCGGATACTTATTTTGATTGGTTAGCTGTAGGAGAAAAATGTCCAATCAGGTTTTTCCTGACCATACAGTAACAAGAAACAAGCTTGAAATCCAAAACATCTACCCTACTTTGACAAAACTATTCATCTTCAGTCTATCTAGAAAATACTTTTCTGAGACGTATCTCAAATCCAAGCTAAAAACCATGAGAAAACGTCTATCATATTCATCTGTTCTCAGAAAAGTTAGTTTAAATCAATACGCGTGTTTTCGAACAGTTGGAAGGCAATCAAAAAGGAATTTAAACTTGATTTTGTACGAATGTTATTATCTCCCAGAAGTGTCTGACTGTAAAGTCTACGCTCCATACTGATCTACAAACTCCAGTCTTTCCAGAGACTTGAAAGTAAGCTACCCATCTAACCTGAAAATTTACAGATATTATTACAACAGAATTGGAAAACACTTACCACTGAACCCAATTAGCTAATTTAGGCCCACCAATTTTGATAATTTCAGGCCGTTCTTCAATAGATAAGGAAGTACATCCCACTCCACTGACACCACCAAAAGGTGTCGACAACCGTTTCTCCATATTTGTTGATCGCATACAATTTAATCCAGTCTGTGAACGGCGTGGATTCTGCATACAATCACCATTAATATCAGTTCTCTTGTCATTATTTATTACTGTATAACAATCATTCGAAAATAAATGGCAAGCATGTAGGCCAACTATTGCAGCTGACTGTACATCGCCAGTTATATCAACATAATTCTGTATTAGGGTGATAAAATCACTTGAACATAGACCAGTTAAGAGAATAGCCTCTAGTTGTCCACGTTGTACCATAGAATCACAAGTTGAACGTACAAACATAAGAAGCTATACATATATTTAAAGGAAAGAAAACAAAAAAAATAATCTTGATGACATAACGAAAAAAATCCAATGAGGAGACCAAAAGGTAATGTATTTTAAATGTTTTTAACTATAAATAAGCTTAAAACGACTGTTACAAGCCATGCGACGTTGGGATAAGCAGCTGCAAGTTTTCGCTTGATCATACCATGAAAGTCAAGTTTAAATACTTGTGATAGTACAAGAAATCCACTTGATCATGCCTAAACTATTATGACAATGTCAGTTTGTTTGGTCGTGGCTAGAAGAGGAATCCAAGACGCGCGTTTCGTCCTATTTGAGACCCGTCAGCTGGATGTATCCGCACCCTGGTGTGGAGTGATGTTGTTCATATTGGGACTCGAACCTCATACCCATCGCTTCAAACGGCAGAGCGTTATCCACTACGCCATGGAGGTACGATAGCTACTTCGTGTACAATGGGTGTTAGTTATTACTGTCTGTTGATATACGCGCGTCCTGGATTATTTTGCTGACCACAACCAAACAAATTACCATAATTAACACTCAGGCATCCGCATAGGAGCCCATATGCCAGTAGAGATCGAACAATTTGATCCAATAAAACAACGGGAGAATTATAAGTATGTCAATAAATAGTATTACGACGGCGGTTTGATGTTCTCTGAGCTTTGATAATCAATCGTGGACGTTTCATCATCATACTTGATGATATCCTCAGAGCTGACTTCATAAAGACTTCTTTCTATGAGAACAATTAATAGTGTGCAAGGCATATATCCATAAGAAATGCTTAAAGAAACAAGCACCAGACGACGTACAGAAAAAAAGGCTGAAACACTAATAGACGGATCTTTAACGATAGTCTAGGTCTAAACATGTTATTGAGGTCAGAGGTTATACTTATTAGGCATGCATGAACACGTATGAAAAAATATTCGGTCCAATATTTTAGTACTCACACAAGGTGATAATTGAAGGTGGAATGAAAATTTGGACCACGGCTGGATTCAAACCAGCGACCACCGGGGTTTCCGGCTCGATGTTCTACCAGCTGACTTACAAGGTCTGACTAATGACTAGATTTTTATTTCACCTCAATCAACAAGAGTAGTAACGCGTCACGAATTTACATGATTGTCGGGTGAAAACCCATGGTGATTGAAGTGAAATATAAATGTGGTCGTCAGCAGTCAGTTGGACCTCGTAGCTCAGTTGGTAGAGCATCGGGCCGGAAACCCGGTGGTCGCTGGTTCAAATCCGGTAGCGGTACAAATTTTCATTTCACTTTCAATCATCACTCAGTATAAATACTAGCCTGCCAAACTATGACTATCTCAGATAGTCAAATGATTTCACTTATGACAATAATCAACTCGTTTGTTCATACAGAAATGTTTAAGTGCTACGATAGTTATTCATAAGCTCACAAATTCATACCGAAATCTCTGTTGGAATCACCGAAACTAAAATTGTATGATGATCTTAAGTGTGAAACGTTCAACTGGTATTTACTGCATCAAAAGCGAATTTGTTTTTGTAACAGTCTTCATTGTGAAGATTGAATATCAACTTCTGTATTCTCCAGCTAGTGAATAAATAACATCGATATTGGCTGTATTAAATCGATGAAAGGATATAGATTATGGATAGAAGTGTTCAACCTTTGCAAGGCAGTATAGTCAGATGATGTATAAACTTTTATCTAGGAATAACACCGCTGATCATATTCACTAAAGGCTTACGAAGAGTTTATAGTCGACAGCACTCATCTTGAAAACTAACAATGAAATTCTTGTACTTTGAGATAGTATTTATCATGGACTGACATAAGTTAGCGAACTATTGAAAACCTGGCAGCACTAGACAGCTGTTTCGTCCTAGTATGGGACTCCTCAGCAGTATGCACCCACGACTCGGCTAGGGATAGGACGAAGGACCTTCAGGTTTTACAGCGAACCTGTTAACCATTCAGTCAACGGGTCACAGTTCAACGTTTCACAGTTTCCTATTTCTGTCAATTCGCGATATAACGCGACTATCACCCAAGGTCTTCAGGTGGCATTCGCTTACCTTCCGACCTGGTTGTCCCACAGACTATGACTTTCTCATTAGAACTTTAGGATATTCATCTCAAAACATGTCACTAATGAGCACTATGCATGTATGAAAAACATTCGCTTTAGTATATTAATATTCATAAAAATGATTCAATCGAAAAGTTAAGTAATGATAGTTAAATAACACTGGAGAGATTAACTTACATCATCATCATTTAAGTAGAGACAAGCGAAAGCAACTCGATCAATAAGGCATAAAGTATCATCATTCTATAAACAGAAAATAATTAAAAAATTATTCAACCGACAAAAAGGTACACAAATATAGTTAGTAGTAACTCAATAGGACAATAAAATAAAACATTCATATTCAGAACAATATTGTAATTATTTCAAAAAATAACTACATTTCAACTGTTCACCTTTCGGTTAACGGTACACAATTATATGATGTTCAGCACCAATCACAATATAAGCCTTGAAATACACAGACGAAAAATACTAAGCCAATAATTGAACCAATCAGTTAGCAGTTATCTAAACAATACAACAGAGATATATAGCAGTAGATAAGCCCCTACAACATTTATTGTATTGAATGATTGAATTTAAGTAGCTGCGAAAGTTGATTATAAACACCAATCTTTAGTGAAACTAAATAATAATCAAGTTGTTATTCATCGTAGACTGACATCAGTTGGAGGAACAAAGGAAACCTGGGAGCACTGGACAGCTGTTTCGTCCTAGTATAGGACTCCTCAGCAGTGAGCACCCACGACCCCACCAACTGATGTCAGTCTACGATGAATAACAACTTGAAATAATTCCAAATCTCCACAACTCCCTCAAAAATTTAAATAATAATCACCAACAATTTCAAACAATTCATTGACTCTTGATAAACCAGATAATATTTCAGTCCAGATAAGGGTGTCCTAGTTTTCTTAGTATAACAACGCTTGAGTCAATTATGCTTAAACTCTTTGGAAGATATCCCATCCCTACCTACTTTGAGTTTTATATTCGTCATGACATTCGCAGTATTGATAAAAGTAGATGATGTACATCATGATATCAGTTCACATACGAAAATAAAATAGTAAAACAAACACAAATCAGTTACTTCTTTTTCAGGCTCTACAATATATTCACTTGCATACCCTCACACTGATTCAGTATGAAAGAAACCTGGTCAAATGCCTGAGTTACACAATAAGAAACATACCTTAGTTGTATTCTTTGAGCTGGGTTGTTTAATCGTGGAGCTTTCATCGTCTTTCTAGACAACATCATCAGCACTAACTTCAATATGAAGTGAGCTGTAAATATCTCGCTGTGAGTGAATGACTAGCTTCCCTGACGGACCGATTTGCGACTGGTTGTTTCCTTTGATTGTTGTGTCATTTACTGCATAAATTTTCTTGTCGCGACGTCACAACATTTCATCACTCATTTCAATGCACCTGGATAACAATTATGGACATGAACTGAATTTTGAAAATGTGGAAATCTTGGAGGGAGGAGACGCAAAGAATATCAGAGAATCCCAAAAGTGAAGTAGAGGAACAGCCAACAGGAAAATCTATGCTCTGTCAATGACACAACAATCAAAGGAAACAACCAATCACAAACCACTTCGTCAGGTCAGGCTAGTCAATCACCGATGAAGAGGTAGTGACGGCTCACTTCATATTGAAGTTAGCGCTGATGATGTCGTCTAGGAAGACGATGAAAGCTCGACAATTAAACAACCCAGCTCAGAGAACACAATACAACCAAGACCATCCACCCGAGCTACAAACATGTTTCACCATTTCATGGGAAACATGTTCTGATGACTGTATTGAAGAAGAAATGAATAAGCTTAAGATAACATTGCAGCAAATTGGGTATCCGCTAAACTTCATAAACAAACACATGTCAAGGTCTAGAGAAAAAATGAGGAAAGACAATGTTGCTAAGATGTCTATATATCTTCGACTAAGTTTCAAAGGTGATATTGCCTCGGATATCTTAACACATCGACTAAATGGATCAGTCGAAAAGACATTCATTGCAGCGAAATTCTTTGTCATCTTCTCAACCAAACCATTACTGACACAGAGAACCAACGATAGGTTACCTATGATGGCCACTTCAATGTGCATTTAGGAGTTCAATTGCTCCTTTGAAGCTAGTTACATAGGATGTACTCAAAGGGCTCTATCTAAGCGTGCTTGTGAACATGTATCATTTTGGTTAGGGAAAGGAAAGACAAAAAGCATCAACAGTGCAATCCTCTCATATCTAGTAGATACCAGATTAAGATTGATAAAGCCTTTTCTGTGATATACCGTGTCCGTCCTTTACAATTTCCCTAAATGTGCACGACTTCGCATCTTATTCATAGCCGAAGTCATAGAGATCAACGCAATAGAACTTGACCTACGTGTTCGAAATTACTTCTTGTTTGAAATAATCTGAAGTCAGGTATAGAGTTTTAGGCAGGAGAGGTAAATCAGTTGACGAGGTTATAAACCTTCATCGAGTCAGATGGTTACCACATGTGTTCAGCAATGCCTAGTCCCCGATTGCCTCATCACACAATGTTGGCCGAAGTAGGTTCAGGCTGCAAAAACGGTCGAGGCGGACAGACTAAAACATGGCATCAATGTATGAAGTCTTTCACTGTCCTTTCGACCGATTAATCCCTCCTTCTTCAACTTTCACTTCACTGCATTTTCACTTCATGTACTGATATGACCTGTGGCAACGTGAACCGTCACGCAGTAATCCCTTGTCCCATGTTGATTTCCATAGATGGATCGATATCCCCTCATCCCTCCCTTTACTCTGAAATAATTTAAACACATTCTCTTCATCTATTTCGTCTCCCACAATGAATAACATTCTATCAAGCTACTATTACTCAAATTATCTTTCTTTCTTTGTTTCACCCAACTCCCATAAACACCTTCTTATTGTTCTATCAAACTACCACCATATAGTGTTTAGATAAACAATTGTTTGCAGTCCAATCCCAATAATAAGTGGTTCTATCATTCATGTAGAAACACAAAACTTTCCTCAACTGTATAATAAAGATTATTCACAAACTGATAGCCGGAATCTCTATATTGTTGGCGCATAATCCCGTAATATGTACAAATAACTGTAGAAGTCGAAGAAGAAGTTACGGAGGAAAATATTCTTTGTTTACTCAAACGGCTTCGAATTATAATAGGCATTTTTAATCATTTGAAACATGCATTACTCAGGTAAAATTGTTTCTAAAAAAAAAATAATCGATAGGGAGCTTCTACAAACAAAAAGAATCTGTATCAAGCACATAAATTCATAGAATAGTATAGGTAATATTTAAACACATACCAATATTGGTCCGAAATCTCCACCTTGACGACTTAAGAACATGAACATAACACGTAGGTAGGGATTTTGTACATGCTTTATCAAGTTGGCACATGTAGTTCGCCATAATTCATTACGTGTATCTGTGTAACCAGCTAAAGCCAATGCAACTAGACCAATATCAGAATCTTTATTATTTAGTAAAGAAAAAGAAAAATGGACATAAATTGATGGACGGTAAGTTGAAGCTTAGTTCATGATATATTCAGATTATGATCATAAGTCATGGAAATGAGCTATTATTCCTTCTTATTTATCACATTTTTCATCAGAGTGAAAAAATATTTCCAGTATCATTAAGTTTCGAAATTAAAGTGAGCAGAAAACTTTTAAGCCATAACACACCAAATTCCTATTTGATCAAGTAAAATGTTTCTGATTTAAAAGTTGGTATTCATCATGAACTGACATTAGTTGGAGTAACATTAGGAGCACTGGACAGCTGTTACATCCTAGTATGGGAGTCACCAGCAGTGCACATCCATGACCACACCTACCAGGGGTCGAAACCCGGATTTTCAGGTTCCGCGGTCAGTATATTACCATTGAGCCACTAGGTTGGAATCCAATGGTCTATATTTCCAACTTCTGTCAGTTTCCGATATGTCGCGATCACTACCATCCTTGCTCCAATCCCTGATGGGGTCATGCGTGCGTACTGCTGAGGAGTCTGATGCTAGGACGAAACAGCTGTCCAGAGCCCCCATATTTCCAGTGTTCCTCTAGTTGATGTTAGTTCATGATGAATAGCAACTTGAAGTCAATAAATCCCCATAAACCCGCAAATTGAAATTTATCAAACCACTAAAGCAGCTCAACAGTAGTCGAAACGAAGTCAGTTGCTGAAAGTGGGTGAATTAGATTGGTAATAGTTTGATTCAGTTGTATCCTATACACTTTATTCTTCAGTAAAAATGACCAGCAAATGCAATCGATGTCGTGAAAACACAAAGAAACACTTCTGAGACGTAACTCAGAATACTTCGATACTGGATTCAAGTGTCAGTTCTTGATTTACGCAGAAAACTTCAGGACTTCACGATATATATATATATATATATATATATATATATATATATATATATATATATCATTTTGACTATCTGAGATAGTCATAGTTTGGCAGACTAGTATCGATACTAGATTATGATTGAAAGTGAGATGAAAATTTGGACTGCAGCCGGATTCAAACCAGCGACCATTGGGTTCCCGACCCGATGCTCTACCAATCGAGCATCGGGTGAGTAGCAGTAGAGTCCAGAATGCGCATTTCGTCCTATTTGGGACTCGGAAACAGGGAAGAACATAACTCCCAATGAGTGATGTTCATCCCATCAAGTATCGAACTAAACATGCATCGCCTCAGACGCCGTAGTATTATCTACTAGGTTAATGAATCATAATAACCACTCCTTGTGCAATGGATACAGTTTGATATAGGAACTTATTTCCCGTCGTTGATTAGTTTGGACCGGGTTAATCAGACTCTGTTAGTATATGGGCTATGAATTGATGACTCCTTGGTTCGAGTCTCAGCAAAACACCATTACCCACTGGGAGGCAGAGACATCCAGCTGAAGAGCAACAAACAAGGAGAAACATATGTCTTGGACTCCACCGCCAGCCATCAATATTAAAATGAAATCATTGGCTGTATCGAGACATACTCCACAACAGCCCATTTGTCAACAGAGTTCGATCAATTGTATCCCAACCAATGACCAACGGGAAATAATAAGTGTGCTGAATAAACATTATTTGTGGAGTCTGCTAATGGTGATTATTTTTTTTATAACCAACGCATTATTAAAACAAAACTAAACTGATGTGGGGACAGGCAGACATCATACAGTAGTGGATTATTTCACGTGAATGAATGTGCACCTATCACTAGACAGATGTTGACAATAGAAAAGAGTTTCTGACAATTTTTGTATCGAAAATTTATACTTATTGAGAAGAAGTGACCGTAAGAAAACGTTTTCGGTAAACAACCATTTTCCTATCTAGCATTCTAAATGTTATATTTGAGTATAACTCCACTTTAGCCAATATACTTACATCCACAAAATAGTTGTAATGGTTGCTACTGATAAGAAAGGATATAAGTAGTATATGTTGAGAAGTCGGCAGAAGTTTATAAGAAATTACCAGCAATGAGTAAATATTCTACACAGAGAAACCCAAGAGAACGCACAAAACTTAAACACTCAAGTCTGATGAAACCATTATCGACCTTTGTCTGACAACATACTTCCAATTCAATGACAAGATATACAAAGAGATGGGGTCACCGATATCTCGACTAATTGCAGAAGCAGTGATGCAGAGATTGGAAGCCACCAGTTTACCTGTGATTAAATTAAAATTTGTACTGTATGCGGACGATACTATTGTCATCGTTGAAAAGGATGATATCGAAAACACTCACAGTTTGATCAACAACGTGTTCAATGACATCAAATTCACAATAGAAAAGGAGTCAAACAACAAACTACCATTCCTGGATGTTTTAGTCAGTAGGACAAATTCCGGAAAGCTAGAAACACAAGTGTTTACAGTAATCCAACACACACTCAACTACAGTAGCAACAACCCAACAACGCACAAAATTAGTTGCTCGCAGACTCTATTCAAAAGAGTGAGAACACACTGCAGTACAACAACTTCACGAAGAAAATTACTTGATGTCCACCATAATGAAGAACGGCTACCCATGAAACTTTATCAGAACATGCCTATCCCCTACATCATCACCTACAAAGCCATCGATAGAAATCAACAAACGCATCACTCTACTATACATAAAGAATATATCACAAATTATGACAAGATTACTGAAACCACTTGGTGCAATTGGTGTAGCTCATAAACCGACAAATTCCCCCCATACTCTATTATGCGGATCAAACAACGCAACAACCAAAGAAGACAAACCGAATATCATTTACAAAATCAACTGGAATAACTGTAGTCCACATAACATTGGACAAAGTGGTCGCCCTCTTCACCTTCGTATATATGAACACCGATTGGCTACTAAACGTCACGACATTTCATCACTCATTTCAATGCACCTGAATAACAGCCATGGAAATGAATTGAATTTTGACAATATAGAAATTTTGGGCGGGGAGATGAAACAAAGAATATCAGAGAATTCCTATAAGCTTGGCATTCAGGTCAGTCAGTAATCAACAGATGTATAGACATAAACCCAATTTATCAACCAATGAGAAAAATGACAGACGGCAGAGAGGTCAAGCAAAGGAACAGGAAAACCTATGCAATCTGCCAATGACATAACAATCAAAGGAAACGACCAATCACAAACCATTAAATCACTCATGAAGAGATAGTGACAGCTCACTTCATACTGAAGTTAGAGCTGATGGTGTCGTCTAGAAAGACGATGAAAGCTCTCCACGATTGAACAACCCAGCTCAGAGAACACAATACAACCAAGAATTTGAAGATAAAGGTTCGTGAAAACACTCAAGCTTTAGAGAAAGCGTCAAAGAGTGAATATATCTGCGCTACTGTGACCGTTTTTCAGTCATGTCACCAAGAGAACTCAACCATTGGCTCGCATTGTCTCGGGGACCCAAGCCAGGCAGTCTACATCGCCCCATACAACTCAGATCAACAGTCAAAAACTTCATCGACTGGTATCACGTCTTAGTCTAGCCACTCAGCTCTCTTCTAATCTAATCGAAATCCCCTTAGGATAGCAAATCGAGTTGGTTAGTAGTGGCAAATAAATAAAATGTTCGATGCTCTTTTTTCTAGACTAACAAAAAGAACAAAAGCCAACAAGAGTTTATCAATAATAAGGAGTCTTTATTACGTAATTCAGAGTATTAAATGAATGAATTAATGAGTTACCTACCTGATGATGCTCGATTTAGAAAACTAAGAGCCCAATCAAATTTTAAATTCATTAAAGCCATTGCAGCTGCTCGTTCATATTGACCTTCAGAACATAAGCTGAAAGACGGATATCAAACAGATGATCAGTGGTAATAATTAGAAATGCATTACATTTATTCTGTTCAAATTATGATCACAGCTTGTAGACATTATGGTAAGATTTAGGATAAATAATAAAGAAAAGAAGAACTTCATTACATAGATAGAGTGAAGGAATAAGAATCATTTCAATTGAAATCATCAAATTGGATCGGAATCAAAATTCATGTAGTAAACAATGAATCACATCTAATACGTGAAGGGTTAATGATACTACTATCTGGCTGCCTCAACCCCGGTAAATGGAACGGTGCTCGAATCCCACAACACATTGGTTGAAAATGAACTACCCAAATCAACGAGCTACAACTCTACAGTTGAAAGTATAAACTCCTATTATTAGACTCAGGGAATTCTTAACATTGTTAAATATAACAGACAGTAACCAGCTTAAAATGACTTCACTAATCTGTAGCAGATGGTTTCTCATCAACCTCTTCACCTTAAAGTTTAGGGCGCTTTTGTTTTGATTTTTCCTCTTCTACCGTTTTCAGGCCCAACACAAAATATCCAAGTTATCATCATCGTCAATCATCATAATTAACATATGACCAGGTATTACTGCATAATGGTCTAAGCTGCCACAGCTCATATGCAGAAGGAAAGAAAAATCAGCCAAAAGAAATAGATAGTAGTAAAAGAGAGGAGGAAGGGATAAAAAAAAATGATGAGATTAAGTATGGCGGTTAGGATAAAGTAAACGTATGTATACACCAGCGCCACTGACATCAGTTCTGAAACATACCACAACTCAGACCAATAGTTAAGGAACTTCATCGACTGGTGTTACGTCTTAGTCTGGCCGCCTCGAACCTATTTCGGCCAACACTGTCCGACCAGGCAAACGGTGGCTAGACATACGTAACATATATCTCACCCATCTCAGTCGATGAAGGGTCCAACAACACCAACTGTCATATCTCTCTTCCATAAAATCCTACACCTGACTTCTGCGTGACTCATTTGGTGACACCACGAAACGCGGTCTATACTATGAAAGCAAAGGTGTTCAAATACCTGCAGCCTTCCTATGTCTTCTACCTTCAATGGCCATGTTTCACAGCCATAGAGTACAACAGACCGGACTGCAGCGCAGTAGACTTGATGCTCAATAGGCGATCGGATATCTTGGTGGCGCCACAGATGACATAAGTTGGTGAAAGCCAACCAAGCCTTTTGTATCCATGCAGAGATTTTGTCGGCCACTGGCCAACCCATAGCATGTAAATGAGGTGTTCAACGCACTCAACCACTTCACTCTCTATTGTTACCCGGGGTACCGTTGAGGACCAGTCCTGGAGCAACAATTTTAATTTGGGTGGCGAGAAACGCATCCCAAACATTCTCAAATTAACACTCAAAGTGTCCAAAAGCATCTACATGTTGTCAATGTCTTCGCCTAACAGGACTATCTCATCTGCGTATTCTAAGTCAACCGAAAATCCTCCTGCGATTAGGTTAATCCCTGTGTAATCAAATGACCAGAGGGAGACTTCCAAAAGAACGTCTATGATAAAATCGAACAGGAATGGAGACAGTGAGCATCCTTGAGGGACATCTAAGAAGGTGTGAATGATAAAATGCTTTCGCAAGGATTAAAAAAAATCTTTTGAAAATAAGACTAAATATTACAGTGGTGGATCAACAGCGTAAGAATACGAATCATGGAAACAATAATCTACATATAACGAGTTCAGTCGTCTAACCAACACTAGAAAATTTTGTCTTTCGTGACATCATTGACTTGGTTAGGGCCAGACAGCAATGGAATACAGGATGCGAGGAGAATTACAAGTATCAACAAATAATAGTAACCAATACTCACCACTCACTGGGAGACAGGTATATCCAGCTGACGAGTTCTAAATAGGACGAAATATGTGTCCTGAACTCCACAACTAGTCACAACCAAGTCAATTATAACAACAAATATCCAGGCAATATCGAGGTACCCCACAGAGGAACCCATATGCCCGTAGAGGTAGACTAATTCATCTCAGTATAACAACGAAAAATTACAAGTATGCTAACAAATAACTTCGTGATATGATTCACGTATCACGGTTAAAGGTTAGCTCAGGATGCGTTCCAGGGCACAGGTTATATGAACAACTAAGTTCGTTAATGAAATCAATGAAAAGTTAGTGTATCGTGTAGTAAATTAATTTATTCTAGATAAATATTTACACATAATCATCAGAATTGGGAGTTTCCTTAATATTTCGAGGAAAATCATTGCCCGATTATAAAAAATTTCAATTTGGTGGTTTATTGATTTCAAGTTGGTATTCATCATAGATTGACATCAGTTGGAGTAACATTGGAAGCCTGGGAGCACTAAAAAGGTTTCGTCCTAGTACAGGACTCTTCAACAGTGCGTACCCATGAATCTAAGCGATAGAAAGCAATCAAGAACTTAGATAAGTTACTGAACCTAGTTAGGAAACTCAATCAACTGTTATTCCGTTTCACTTCTGCATTGAAAATGAGAAACGAAAAGCTGTTTTCCTATTGGCGTATTCAATGTCATTTTCAAGTCAATGAGAGACGAAAAACCCCCCAAAGTCCCACTCAAAAACCCAGTCATGATTATACGTGCAATAATACACAATCATATAACAGTGTCGTTTAAAGCAACATTCCAAAGAACTAACATACTAAGGTGGACGGAGATGTGGATTACTGAATCCTTGTTCATCGAATCTTCATCAACATCTGCAGTAGGAAGGACTAAATGCCGACTTTCACTATCTGGGAACGAACCAACCAAGAACCTATCACGCAACAAATATGCAGGAAGAAGTGGAGATGGATTGGCCATGCACTGAGAAGGCCGACTGAGGACATCACGCGTCAGGCCAGGCCAGTTGCTCGAGTGGAATCCCCATGGGAAGCGACGAGTTGGACGTCCAAGGGTGACATGGAGGAGGTCGTGCGAGGAGGAAATGAGAGCTTCTGGGCTGTCATGGGACCAGGTCCAAACGATCTCAGAGAACAGAGGTTACTGGAGGCGTGCTACTGAAGCCCTATGTTCCACTAGGAACCCAAGGGACTAATAATAATAATATAATAATTAAAGTATAAAAAAAGGCAGGTAATAGAACTGCATAAACCAAAAAAGAGGCCAGTGTGATAGCGTTAATATGACGATGAGCAACAATGTAAGCCTGAAATGTCATCCAGGATATAATACTTTATCATTGTATGCTGTATCGAATAAACTTCTTCAATATGGAAGTAAATTTTACCATAGTACCCAAATTCTGTTCTTATACAAATAAAACCTGAAGAAATTGCTCCATATATGATTTCGAAATAATTAAAAATTCATATTTTTGCTTGTATTATACCCGTCACATAAGAAGTGACTATCGTGACTCGGTAGTCGAGTGGATAACACGCTCTGGAGTTTGAAGTCATCGATCCCAAGTTCGAGTCCTGGTGAGAACAACATCCCTCCCTGTGAAGCAGGTACACCCAGTTGATGAGTTCCAAACAGGACGAAACGCGTGTCCTGGATTTTACTGTTAGCCACCATCCATCATTAATATACAATTCACATTTATGTTTACAACCTACAATTAGACATTAGGTGACTAATAACGCTTACCTTTCAAACACAGGGCGCTGAACAACATCTGTATCATCCAATGGCCACATACATAGACGAAGAACACGAGACCTATGGCAAAGAGTAAATAAATAATTACAGTCCGCGACGAATACAATTTTAATAATAAAATCTCCAAAAGCCTTAAACTACATCATTGTATAGTCCTCATTACTGACATCACTTCGAAATGAATATCCCGAAGTTCTAATGAGGTGTGACCAGTGAGATCCAGTCAGTCGGAAGTGAAGCGGGTACCCAATGAAGACCATAGTGGATAGTCATTCTGTATTTCGAATTGACAAAAGTAGGAAACTTTGGATCTTTGAACTCAGTCCCATCCAGTGGCTCAATGGTTAGCACGTTCGCCGTAAAACCTGAAGGTCCCTGGCCGGGTCAGTTGTTCAATTGATTTGAGTTTGTGATGAATACCACCTTCAGAATAAATCTCCATTAATCTTAAACTGCACTAATGAATATCTAAATATACAGAGAAAAGTCACAAAATTAGCAGGTATCATTGAACTATTCTAGCTCTAGTAATGATAGATAGCGGTTGGCAGTGGGATCCAGGACGCGCATTTCATCCCATTTGGGACTCGTCGGCTGGATGTACCTGCACCCCAGTGCGGAGTGATGTTGTCCCCACCGAGACTCGAACATTGTACCCATCGCCTCACATGCCAGAGCGTTATCCACCGAGTCACGATAGCCACTGCTTGTACGACGGGCATATTTTTTAGTATAATTGTTTTTATATGATACCATCGCTGACTGGACCGAATTGATCGGTTTCTATTGGAATAGGGGCTCCTGTGCGAATGCCTCGATATTACTTGTGTTCTAATTATAATAAAGATGTATAGTGGCTAACAGTGGAATCCAAGATGCGCATTTCGTCCTACTTGGGACTCGTCTAGCTCTTTTGTAGATGCATATAATAAACAGAAAAAGATACAGCTGAAAGGAAAACGCTAACTGATCATCAGAATCACTTTGTTCCGCTTTGATAGTCAACAACACATTGATGTGGATTGTAATAATAAGGCCTAAAACACTATAAACAATTTACATTACAGTATGGTTTTAAATTTCGCTATTCTTGTAAAATGAACAAAATTAAGACCAATTGCGAAAACCTTTATCAAAAATCCATCATACTTGTCAATTATTAATTAATAACGCGAACTACGCGGGCGAATTCCACTACAGTCATGGAGAAGAACAATACATGAAGTTTAGCATTACTTTGTGAACTTAGTATCAATCGAATGAAGAATGGTCAACATGACCGAAAGCTTTCTCTGATTTTTTAACACCAACTCACTGGTAACACATTTGATTTCTACGACTAACTGTCACTCCTCTGACATCCTAAAACTACCAAGTTCATAATCAACTACGTTACTAGATGCTAAAACATGGCACCAATGTATGAAGTCTCTGACTGTTGGTTTAAGCCATGTAGGACGATGCAGACTAGGTGGTTGGGGTTGGCGGGACAAGAGGAACCAGTGGTTGGAGACCCTAGGTGATATGGCTCAGAACCGATGTCAGTGGCGCAGATGTATACACACATTATCCTCATCTTAACAACGCTATACCAAATCTCACCATTTTGTCACTCCTCTTTCCTTTCTTTTCGTACTTTATATTTCTTTTGACTGCATTCACTTATCTTCATCCTTCGCCTCATTACCTTTTTACTTCATGTGCTGATATGAGGTGTGGCAACTCGGACCGTTACGCAGTAATGCCTGGTCCTATGTTGATAATGATGATGAGATCCATTGGTGAGGAGCTAATTGAACGAAAAATTGACCTACGTTTCAGGCGACATTAACTATAACAAGCTGAATAAGCCTACTTGTTTGAAGTGACTACTTCCGGGTCCTTAAATTAAATATCAGTCAATTTATAAAACAGAAAAGCTGATTCAAGAGTTTCGTTTACATGATTCTCAACTCTCTTGAGATTATGATATCCATGACTACCGATGTATTTCTAGAGCTGAACTGAAAGTACAATAAGGAAAGACCTTGTGACGCTGGAAAATCAAAATTTCAAACCATTCATCTATAACTACACAATATGCATACAAGCCTCCAAATGCCCCAATATACGTTCACAGCCTCTGCCAAAGAAGTCCTGCTCACTCTCTTCACATGATGGGAGTGTTTTCTACAGAAATGAAACGGTGAAAAAGAATATCCGGCGCTTATCACCGAATTAGTGGATACTGATGCTCCACCTAAGGGAGTTGTAAAACCCTGATTCCAAACCAATAGTGTTCATGGGCTCCAGCTTCCAGATGGGACGAATGGCGTATGAACCTATTTTAGTCACCGGCAATCATGGGAATGCAGCTTCTGATGTTGTCCCACTGTTATGTGGATTAGAATTTAAGTGAAACGCTCGGAGAGTGGTCCCCTAAGATAACCACCTGCTTCGGTTTGGGCCCCCGGGCAGCACCCCAGCCCTCAAATAATACATGGACTTACAATATAAAGAGATTTTGAAGCTATTAATCAACTTTTCTGCGAATACTGATGATCATTGCACTGCGAACGTTTTAACCAATTACTCGTTTCATTACTATTATATTGTTTTTACATATTAACTGTATTTTTGTATTTCTACCATTTTCGCTTTTGTCTTTATCTTCACTTCACTCAGCTGCTTTCCATTGCCTAGACTTCTGGTCCATCTGTACCGTTTAAAGTCGCTAAATAGTCATCCCTACAAAATTGTCTTCCAGTTCGCCATCTGACACAGCTATCCTGAAACCGCGCATACCATTTAAGCTCGACATCTACAATGTTCGCACCTTGATGCAGATCGGACAACAGGTAGGTTTGGCTAGAACTCTGGAAAGCCTCGTCATCGATGTATGCTGTATATTTTAGATCCGCATACAAGATTCAAGTAAAGTGCTTCGAATTAGCTCCTCCTCTGTCAGCTCGAAACGTATGTTTCATATACACTTATCCGGGGACTCTGAGGCACTGGCAAACGGCCTTGCTGGTGGCGTCGCACTAAGCGCTCGAGCTGAAGCTGTGGTACTCGACTGTATCCTCATCAACAGTCGTCTATGCGCTGTTAGACTAGGAGGTTCAACTTGAGTAAGAAGTAATCGGTAAGAGGAACACTATCTCTTTGTCATCTCTGCCTATGCTTCGATAAATTGAAGCCCGGATGCAACTGAGCGATCTCAACCAAGTGTGCTCGACAGATGTCGTAGTGGTAGCTGGGGATATCAAAGGGAAGGTCTGGCGCCTAGGCTCAGAGAAGAGTCGTTTAGGTGGCTTATGGGGACTAGTTAGCCGCAGGTCGGACTATGGGGATCGTCTTCTGCAGCTTTGGGCAGATCATAACCTATTTCTAGCCAACATCAACTTTCGGCACAGCCATCACCGCTGTGCTAATTGGTGTCCTTCTGACACTCAAGCCTGGACTCAAAGAGATCACATCGCAGCTAGCTACCGATGGCGTGGATGCATACAGAACTGTCACTGCATATGGAGTACTTGTCTGGACTCTGATCATACTTTAGTGTGTGCTCAGCTCATCTTGCGTTTTGGTGGTCATCGAATCGTCATCCTAAACATGTCAGTGCAAGCGAATTAACTGCACCTAACACTGAAGGTAAATACCAATCCGAGCTACATTTAAGATTTGCTACCGAATCTTCAGAAAGTGTAGACGAGCATTGGGTGCACTCGCAAAACGCGATGAAAATGACGAGTAAGGCCGCTCGCGGTCAGGAAGAACGTCCGGCTGATAAACACCGGCTCACTATGAGCTCCCTGCAACTGCTTGACGCCCGTAAGAACATTCCGACGGATAGCGAGTACAATGGTCCGCGAACCATCACACAACGCTTACGCAAGGACCGTAATGGTTGGTGGTCGGGACGCGCGAGTGAGATGGAAGCAGTAGATGCATCTGGCAATAGTCAGGAGCTGTTCCAGCTCATCCCAGCCGCTGGTAACAAGAAGCCAGGTGTCAGTGAGACGGTCTGTCAGGTAGATGATACGCCGATAAAAAATCTTAAAAGACGCCTTGAACGATGGACAGAGCACTTCAAAAAGCAGTTTAGCTGGCCCTCGGCTCCAGCAGTCACCTTCGGTGTGTCGTGGCTCCATGGTCAGTTAACACTGGCCCACCCAAAGAAGCAGAGGTCCATAAGGAACTCCAAGTTTTGGAACGCCACAAGGCACCCAGTCCAGACAACTTACCCCAGCTCCTTTTAAGGATGGAGGAATGACTATGGTTAGGGGGTTGACTAGATTGTTTGAGAAGATATGGCAGATTGACTGCTCCATCACTATGGAAAGATGCCATTGTTGTGCTCATATTTAAGAAAGGTCTTCGCTATGTGACAATCATCGAGGTATTAGTCTGTTACTAGTTGCGTTGAAAATATTGGCCCCTATCATACTTCGCAGACTTTTCAAAACGCGTGAGAAAATGATTCGCGAAGAGCAGACCGGGTTTCGTTTAGGTCATGAATGCATTGATCATGTGGATGCCCTCCCCGGAGGCTTGAACATCGCCACACACATTACAGGCCAACAATCGTCGTGTTTCTTGACATTAGGGCTGTTAGAAAGGGACGTGTCTGAGAAGTTTATTAACATCTGGTAAGCCCCATATAACAACACCTCAAAGAGAGCGAGGGCATACAACCACCAGTCTCCATTGTTTTAAACCAGCAGTGGGGTTAGGCAGGGTTGCCCGATTTCCCTATTCCTCTTTCGCTTTGTCATCGATAACATTCCGGAGACAGATATGAAGAAAGTGCATAGTGGTGGTGGTGTAGATTTACTACCCGGAGAATGGCTATACGATCTTGAATATGAGAACGATATTGTCTTACTGTGTGATATTATACAGGCTGTTCAAATCGCGCTTAATCAGTTGGTTATTAGTGTCCATAAGTATGTCATGCGCTTTGCACCATCTAGGGTGCAAAGTACTCTTGCAAGATTGGAAGGATCCTGAACCGTTGGAAGCAGCCTAAGAGTTAGTGTATCTGGGTAGTCGTGTGATTGCTAGTGGAGGTGTGAGTAGTGAAATTTCCAACCACATATCGAAAGTCAAAGTGGTATACCTCAACCTGAACCACCTTAGGAGCTATCGCAACGTTAGTCTGACCGTAAAACGTCGAGTTTACAACGCTTCGACGACAGTAGTTATGCTATACACCGGTGAAAGATGAGGACGTGCGATGACTTTGTGTATTTGATCATCATTGTCTCCGTAGGACTGCTCGTATCTGATGACAACACCATGTAAGTAATTCTGAAGTGCGACAGAGCGTGTTTGAGCATGATGGAGATAGTCATTCAATAAATAAAGTCATCTGGAAACACCGGCTTCCCTGGGGCTTAGACGTTAGTTACGCATGTCGTCCCAACTGCTTCCGCACCGTTCATTGTTTGGTAATCCTGGGACTGGATGGAAAGAGCAGAGGGGTGATCAGTGTATGACGTGGCGCCGTAGGAAGAGGGATAATCGTATGGGGTTGGCATCTGCTGGTGCATCACGACTCTCTGGTTGAGGTCAGAGAGATCACGCAACTCAGTGGCCTGAGACGTTATCAGATATGGCTATGACATAGTGGAAACCAGCGGCGATCATGCTGTAGCGTTACGATATCTACATTATTTTGAAGCCATACCAACAGTTAAAAGGAAGAATAGGAATGGTGAATATACAAATATGCAAACAATTCATATAGACAATACCTTTCAGGACTCCGATATCGTGAAAATGGTAATTTCGCATCTATTCCTTGCCACTCAACATGTGTTAATACTTCACTTGCTAATATAACACCTGGTGGTAAAGAACTTTCACAAAGAACTGAAATAACACCAAAACATCGAGAAGGTACACGTCGTCTCGCAACAGCACCAGCGCTGTCTCTGTGATTTGTTGTATAATTTGACTGAGATGATTCTACCTCCACTGTAATCAAGATATGAAGGATGTAAAAGGATGAGGTTACTTTTAGGATTCACACGGGGGAAACTAATGCATATACTGTAAGCGATTTTGAAAATGTCATAAATAATTTGTAAGCATCTGTTTCAAAAAAGAATTGAAATAAGAAGCTCTTCAAGGAAGAAACTAAAAAAAATTTGAAGAAATATAGTCACAAGTATTTTCAATTACACTTTGTACCGTTTACAAACAGTACTGGAATCGGTTGGAACTTCACTTCGGAAAAAGCAAAAACTAACCGATATTTAACAACACACTGGTACAAACTGTAGTAGTACTAACCCCTGCATATATTGTCATTCTCCTCAAAACTAACGCACTGTGGCTTATGTAGGATTACATAACTTTTCCTAAAAATGATTAGACGGGAATCGATGCTCGAAATAATTCCATGGTATAATTGCCCATGAAAAAAAAAACAACTTCAGCGACAGTATAGAGAGATTGGTATGCCCACAACATTAGATTTGGTATCAGATTATTAACGCTATTCTCCTACCCCGCCCTCCAAATTAACATGATTTCAATAGTAAAAAAAATGAAAAATCATTCGCTTTCAAAATTATAAGGTCCATCGATTGCAACAAAGATGAATGAATATAGAAGCTATGTCTTAGAAACTATTCATCGATGTGCATCCATTATTCAAAAGAAGGTATTGAATCCACTGACTCTTTTTTTTAAACTACTCTGAGAATCAGCTATTGTCTTCACTACAGTCTGAAGATGTTGAGAGGCTTTTTTCAAAGTTAGTGATGTTGTCTTGTGTTGATACTGGCAACTGGCTAGCTAGTTTCTCGCTGACAGCATACTTAGTTTTGTCATTGTCGAGTTGAATTCGCAGTGGTCTTGTCGTTATGGTTCTTCTACATCCATTCTCGTGCATACATATACGTGCTCAAACCAACACGAGGTCAATGTTCAAACATGTCCTAGAAGGAGCAAAAATCTTCCACCGACTCTCTCCAGAAATAACTGATAGTAATATAGCGTGCTTGTATCTACCGATGAGTTGAGGTCAATGGACGCCATATCAAATGATGTTTCTCTGTATTTTTGAAATTCATGCTGATAGGGAGCAAATGGTTATCTGAGCACAGTTGTAATAGGCGATCACCGTTATTTGTTCATTCGACTGGGATTCCGAAAGTGTTACCTAAGTACTCTCTGGTTGACTTTACCTACCAACTTGCGCATTGCAGTCACCTGCTACAAAAACCACTTCTAAAAGTTTGGTTTTCAGTAGCAGGTTAGAAAGTTCTCGTTATTCACTTCATTCTAACTGCAGTCAGTGCGTAATTAGAGACTATAAAGAGATAACGACAAGTTTCACTATTTCTTTTAGTCCTCACAATGTCATTAAGTCGAAAAATGCATTGTCAATTAGAATTTGATGCATTTTCTGACCTAGAACTTAATACAAATGCTGTACTTACATCTGTACCTGAAAGACCGCGAGAACTAGCCATCGACTCCCAAGAAACTCGAAGCGTGAATGTTGTGGATTCTATATATTGACCAGGTGATGTTAAGCGAATAACCGTATTTAGGTGATGTAAGCGTGTTTCTATAGCACAACACACATTCATAGCCAAAGATGCTGGATTTCCGGTTATCGACGCTTGTTAGTCAATTTGAGAGCGGACGCGGATATTTAGAGCTCCAAAGTACAGTCTGGAGCGCGTTTTCACGACAAGAGAGAGGTTTTTCGATAAACTCAAATCGTTTCCTTTCAACTTGTTATAATCGTTTAAAAAAGGCCTTCTTTTCAACATTTTATTTACTGGTATCGTTATTCAGTAAATATTATTACACTGACTAAAATAGAAAGAAACAGGTCCAGTCCTCAAAATAGCTTTTGGCAGAAAAGATGGATAATACAAGGAAATCCATGTTTTCATATGGTTACTAGTCTCGTTAGATGATAATAGTGCTACCCAACTAACAAAAACAACAAGCATAAATCACCATCAACGAGAGAAATCTAAGGAAGTTGTCCCTTTCACCTACCTGTCTAGTCAGTACAGCAGCATCGTTCCAACTACAGGTGACACGAGTACACATCAGGATGTCACACCAACCAGGATCAAAAACACAGCAAGACAGACCTTCCTGCATTAATCTGAAATAATCAGTGTCGAGATCTAGTCCACTCAACTACACTCCAATCAGCATAAAGCCTAAACAATATCCGGATTTTCAACACTAATTCAGTCAATTAAGTCAGTACTTGCTTCTATGTGATGGTTGAGAGACTTGGCATGTTACGAAAAGCATTTCCAACAAACTACTGGTATACATCAACACATGCTGTCTACACTCACTCGATACTGATACTGAAGATCACATGGTGAGAATAATAATAATAATAGGCAACAAGGAACTCTGGCTGACTGGCTGGCAACGAACCAACGAAACAAGAACCTGTCACCCAACAAATATGCAGTAGAAGAAAGTGGATATGGGGGTTGGATTGGACATAGACTTAGAAGACGGTTTGGAGATAGCATGCGGCAGACCACACCAGGCTATTGAGTGGAACCTGCAAGAGCGTCCCAGCAGAGGATGATATAGAGGTGATGTGAGGAAGAAATGAAAGGTTGTGAGCAGTCGTGGAGCCAGGTTCAAAAGACTGCGGAGAATAGAGTTAAATGTTTCACTAGGAACCCAAAGGACAAATAAAAAAAAATACTAATTAGTCTCATGACTAATGCAAGCAATTATTATTATTATTATTATTATTATTATTATTATTATTATTATTATTATTATTATTATCATTATTAGTCCCTTGGGTTCCTAATGGAACATAGGGCTTCAGTAGCACATCTCCAGTGAACTCTGTTCTCCGAAATCTTTTGAACTTGGCTCCACGACAACTCACAAGCTCTCATTTCCTCCTCGCACCATCTCCTCCATGTCACCCTCACCACGGACACCCAACTCGTCGCTTCCCATGGGGATTCCACTCGAGCAACTGGCCTGGCCTGACGCGTGATGTCCTCAGTCGGCCTTCTCAGTGCATGCCCAATCCATCTCCACTTTCTTACACTGCATATTTGTTGACTGATAGGTTCTTCGTTGGTTCTTTCCCAGAGCTCCTTGTTGCTTATTCTTTCTGGCCATCTGATCCTGAGTAACGAGCCAGAGTAGGCAGTTGTTGATGAATGTCTATAGTTTATTGGAAATCCCTTTCGTGACGCGCCAAGTCTCTGAGCCATACAGAAGCACTGACTTGACGTTGGTGTTGAAAATCCGGATCTTGTTCCATATGCTGAGTGGAGTAGATCTCCACACTGGTTTCAGGCTAATGAACGCCTGTCTTGCTTTTCCGATTCTGACTTTGACATCCTCGTCTGTGCCACCGCTGCCTCTAGTTGAAACAATGCTTCCTAGATAGGTAAAGGAGGTTACTTCCTTTAAGTTTCCCCCGTTGATGGTGATTGGAGTTTGTTGTTGTTGTTGGAGTTGTTGCTGCGGTATCTTCATCATTTCTGTCTTCTCTATATTCACTTGAAGTCCCGTCTTCGTGCTCTGCCCTGCCTCTTCTGACAACTTGTTAGTTTTCGCCTGTAGATCTTCAAGTTTGTGTGACATCAGGCACAAGTCATCGGCGAAATCCAAGTCTTCTAGGTTCTTTACCCGGTCCAGCCAGTGTATCCCCCTCTTCTCACAGCTCCCCACTGTTTGCTGCATGATCCAGTCCAGTCGACCACAATCAGGAATATCATGGGGAATAGTAGACAACCTTGTTTCACTCCTGTCTTCACTTCACTTCAAAAGCATCACTGAGCTTCCCATTGTGAATTACTTGACTGGCATGTGGCATCTTCATATAGTTGTTAAATGAGGCTGATAAAGGTTTGCGGTACTCCATAGTAATGAAGCAGTTTCCAAATTACTTCTCGGTCGACGCTGTCAAAGGCCTTCTCAAAGTCGATAAAGTTGAGGTAGAGAGTTGACTACCATTCTATGCTCTGTTTTATGATGATGCGCGATGTAGCGCTGCAATTTGGTCTGCACATGATTTGTACTTCCTGAAGCCTGCCTGGCTGTTCCGGTCGTAGTTTCGAATCTAGCGCATCCTTTAGCCTCTCCAGGATGATGCGGCTTAATATTTTGCTTGCTGTGGGTGGACAGGAGAGTGATTCCTCGCCAGTTCTTGCAAACACTGAGGTCTTCCTTCTTCTTCGGCAGTTTGACAAGGCAACCCTTCTTACAATCAATGGCCAGGTACCTTCTCTTCCTTCCACACCTTCTCCAATAGTGGTGTGGTGTGAGCATGTCTGCTATTGTCTCTGCGTTTGTTCTCAGTGCTTCTGGTGGGATCCCATCTGGTCCTGCTGCTTTCCCACATTTCAGTAGCTTTATGCCGTTCAGGACTTCCATTTTTGTTGGAGGATTTACGTTCACTTGTAGTTCTGTGGCTGGTCTGTAGGTGGTATTTCTGGACGAAGTGCAGGTGGTGGTGGTGGTCGATTCAAGAGCTTCTTGAAGTGGTCGGCCCATTGTTTCCTTTGTTTCTCTTCTTTCGTAATTCAATTCCCGTCATCATCTTTTATTGGTTTCATCTATGTTGATCTCTTCCCAAACAGCAAGTAACCTGGTTATTTGATACAATGTTGTCAGGTTTCTGTCTTTCCTACCTGTAGCCTGTTCTGCTTCACTTACCAGTGTTTCGTAGAAGTGTCTTTTGTCTTTGCGTGCACTCTTCTTCACTTCTTTGTTCAGTGTTTTATACATTGTGCTCAGTTCCTCTTGTCGTTGAGCATCCTTGAACTGGTTTATCTTCTGCTTCACCATCCTACTCCCCCTCCTCTATCAGCTTCCAGGTATCCGTCGAGATCCATTCCTTGTCTTCTTTCTTCTTCCTTCCTATACGGCTGTGCAGGTTTCTTTCCACACAGCTTTCAAAGTATTCCAGTGTTCTTCCACACAGGTTTCTTCAGGGATGTTCCTCGATATATCCCATTTTATCTTGATGGCTGCCGTGAAGATTTCGTTTGTAGTTTCATCCTTCAGTTTCCGAGTGTTGTACCGCTAAAGAAACTTCAAACTTCAATGCAAGTAATAAGCAATGATAACTCAGATATTAGTGAGTCTACAAACAGTATTATTATACATATCCGAAGAAATTAGTCTCATTTGAAGAGTCAATAGTGATATATAAATGACACAGTAGAGATCTTTAAGTAATGATATATTCCTGTTAAAAAGTAAAATAAACACACCAGAAGATCGGTTCAAGATATCAAGTAAACTTACATTGTCGCCTCATCAAGAGTTCATCCATATAGTCATTGATGTCTAAAATATATCCAAAAAAAAAACAAAGAAATAAAGACAGATATATGAACATAAACTGAGATGTCGATTGGTTTTCAAATAAGGTTCAGTTGAATCTTAGACAAAATATATACCTCAAAAAAATGAAGATAAAATGCGATCCATCGACGGAATTCAGGTTTATGGATGAGACAACACTTTGAAACTATCTATTATTAATATAGGAGTAAAACTTGGTCATAGTAGAAAATTGCGATTCCATTTTAGTCTGTTTATTAGAAATATCATACAGTGAAACAGTAGCATTTACTGGATAACGTTTCAGACACAATCCACTGTCCATATTCATATCAGGTAACTCCATAACTTCGAGACAGACTTTATATTATTCATAATTTTCTCTCCTTCTCTGTGATGACAAGGGTAGTAGAATTTTCCACATGTCTGGGACATGTGCAGAATCGTTTCCATTACTGCATATATTTGGTGTTGATTCGATAAACAAAGATTCGGTTATCAATCTCTCCCTTCCTCCACCCAGCTAAGTTAGTTTTCAACATTGTCGCCCTATCCCAACCTACTGTGTGATTGTGTGTCATCGCATGCAGAGCTATAGCCGAGCTTTTCTCTACATCTCTTATCTTATTAGTATCTACTAATCTTGATTCAGCGAAGTTTTTGTGCTCTATTATTCTAATCGACCCTAGCTGGTCGACTGCTTTAACCTATGTACTTGACCTTCCAATCATTGTAAAGGATTTGGTACACCAAATTATTTTGCCTAGTTGCATCAATAGAATCTCTTAACCTACAAATCTTGTTTCTAGGTGAGTTTGTTGGTTCATGTGTTACTGTAATCCCAGCAGCCTTATTGAGAATTCTTCGGAGTGCTTCTCAGGTGCTTTCTTTGTATGGTAACACAGTAGAGGATTTGAATTCTCTCTCAACCCTGTCACCATTACTACCATTAGTAGTAGAATTATTATTGATAACACCTATATTACTATTACTACCACTGCTAATATTTTTCTTTCGATTTCTTATGAATTTATTTCTAAATTTAGGTGGGTAATTATTGAGACGGAGGGGATTCTTGATGTATCTAATTTCTTGTCGCAGATTTTCCTATCTACTAGCTCTATCACTTAAGCATTTAACTAGGCCTACTTTGACTGAAATGGGGTGGGATGATTTGAAGTGTAAGTAGCGATTCAAATGGGAAAGTTTCCTAAAAACACTAGTCTCTAAACTTCCGTCTTGTTTTCACCTAGTCTTACAAGCCAACATTGCTAGCTCAACTTCTTCACTTTCTAAGTCACAGGTAAATCGGTTTGAATTCACTACTGAATTTATATATGCCAAGAATCTATTGATGTGTTCCGATTTCAGTAACGTAAATGTATCACCTACATATCTGAACTATATCTTTGGAATAGGACTAAATTTTTGAAGGGCTATACGTTCCCAACTATCCATAAATATATCTGCGATGATAGGCGATATTGGTGACCCCATGGCAACACCTTCAGTTTGTTTATATTATTTTATTTTGAAACTTAAAAACTGTAGATGTCAGGCATAATCGTACTCCTAACATGATTTCCTCGATCGGCGCGTAAGCTCACTGTCTCTAGAGCCGTGTCAATCGGTATATTTGTGTAAAGGCTAGTCATGTCAAAACCAACCACTTTTTTCATTGTCATCTAAATGTATGTCATCTAATCTATACTTTAAGTCATAAGAGTTAGTAAGTCGAGATTTTGAGTGATTTCTTATTTGGTCTAACACCACCGCTAAATATTTAGACAACTCGTAAGTTGGAGTGTTTCTAAAATCTACTATAGGCCTGATGGGATAACCTGGCCTATAAATCCAAATACTACCCATTACATTCTACTGGAATTATTAGTTTTCGGCATTAAATTAAACCACTTTCACCCACCTAGAAATGGCTTCATCCAGCGTTTCAGATCCCCTGTCGATTTCTTAACCTTATTTACAATAGTATCCACTGATTTCTTAACTTCCTCATATGGTCCTGTTTCTTTATGCTCATTCTCTTTGTAGATGTAGTCAGATTTGTTCATTACAACTGTTGAGTTGCCTTTATCCGATTTGGCAATTACAATATTGTTATCATCTTGAAGGTTCCTGAGAACTTCTCTTTCTGGCTTGGGTAAATTAGATTTTATTTTCTTCTGTCATTTCAGTGTTAGAGCGCACTGTGCTCTTACCTCATCTCCAATTGTCTGATCGATTGAACTTAACGCTATTTCTTTTTTCGAGATGACATCTTTCCCTAGCACTTTCACTTCTGTTGATCTTAGAACTCTAGTTGAAAGACTGACAACCCACTTTGACTTATCAATTATTGGAGATGTACTATTGTTAATTTAATTACTGTTGACAACATGCTTTTCTTCCATAAGTTTGTTGAACTTCTTAGTCTGAGTATTTTTGGATTTCTTGAATGGAACTGATCTTGCTTTATTGTAAGTATCCATCAGAAGCTGATAATCCTTTTCATGAACTGTTTGTATCAGCTTACACTTAAGATCTTCGATATAATTCCAGTAAATGATACTGTTTCACTGTGTGACATTTCTAATGAATAGCCTAAAATGGTCAAAGCTAAGAAGATATGATGAAGAGTGTAGACTTCAAAAGAATTCTTTAAACAGTTGAAATCCAACTTTACCCATTCCATTAACATTTTCTACCTATAAATATTCGTTTAATTATTATTATAATTATTATTATTCATTGTTGTTGATAGTAAAGTGATACGAAATCCAACCAATTAGGATTGAAGAACGTCGAAATAGTACAAACCAATTATTGCACATGTACTTCGAAGATTGTTCAGCTTCAATTCCTCAAAGAAATTTATACTATCTGTCCTAGTTGTTAATTTCAAAGAAGCGGTCCACTAACAGATAATAATAATAAAAATAAAATATATTTACTTCATTCGGAACCATAATGATGTTTACAGTTTAGAGCATCGGTTTACCCGTTGTACAATATCTTCCAGATATATATATATATATATATATATATATTACCGACGATGCCGTTTAGCAATACATAATACAAAATAACATGATTGCTGAAATGTTTAATGACTTCGAGGTCGTGATAACTGCTGGCTATCGTAAAGTTGATTGATAAGATTATATCCAGCATCATTTTCTTCACACAATACTCAAGCTAATATAAGGTATGGATGAATTCCTGTATGTAATTGTGCGTGCATACAGTTTAACATATATTTGCTTCTTGTCTTCCCAATGGAAAGACATAAAGAGAGGTGAGGATATAAAGGATGTTTGTCATCAGATAAAATATTTTAGGGCAATTTGCCTACAAGAGTTCAGATGCCTATCCACAACTGCATTTATCAGTAAGGTTAATTATGGTACCACTAACTTTACCAACAGCTTTCAAAATCCTACGCAATAGACCGTAGTCTTTTTTTCTGGAGTCTAGGTCACAATAATGGGGAACAATAAGTAACTACAGGCAAAACACAGGAATTAATGAAATGTAAGAGTAGAGGCTGAGTTATGCCAGACAGTCTGAGTTTCGTTATGCAAACGTTAAGCAAAAACGTTTCCTAGAAATCAGTAAGATATGATGGGACCAAAACACAACTAACCTTTGTGTTACAGTGACATTTTAAAGACTGGTAGTTTCTCTTTCGATCAATCTTCGAGGTAGCTATTCACGTTTCATCTATTAGATGCAAATCTCTATCAATTACTTCTATTTCACTGACTCTAACTAGAAAGATTAGATTTCCCTTAAACCCACAAACAGAAAATTCATGGATTGCTAACGTCTTTTGGTTACGCCAAAACCACGTCTTCTTCGGTCGAATCCTCCGTATACTAGAGTTTGTGTGTTGAGTGGAACAATAGTTTGGCATGAATATGTTATCCAGCCACTTCAACGACTGATTTACCTTCTATACATATGACCTTAGTTTTAACATTTGTGTTTCTAAAGTAGGTGATGACGGTGATAGTGATCGAACAACTTAAACCTAAAATCCTTCATATTTAATGGTAACATTTTACGGCCATATGGTTGGACAGAGTATACAACTCTGTAGTACACTTGGTCGTTAGTATGTGTTTAGACAACGTTTTGCAACTGACCTTCCCAAGATGATAGCATATCAAGGATCAACATCAAGTAATACTCTGCAATTATTTAGGCTTCTTAAGCATACTGACAGGAAAAATAAGAAGAAACCCTGAAAAACTTTAACAACGGGTGGTTAGAACGTTGAGAGTAACACTCTGAAGCACAGTCCAACTGGCTCACAGCAATGTTTCAGTTGCCCAACAACCATCCAAAACTCGAATGCAACGCAGATTTTGGTCCTCTAAGTATCCATGAAGTTAAGAAATATGTTTTTAACCTAAAACGATGAGCTGCAGCAGAATATAACGGTTTGTCACTACAAAGTTTTCAGATCAGAGGTAGAAAATCACCTAGTAGAGTAACCTCTGAGAATCACAGTCCCATCGGACTGGTCTAGATCGCTGATTATTCTAGCACAGAAGTCTTCGTTTGACAAGTACAATGAAATCAGTTTGAGTAACACTGTATACCAAATGATAAAGTTCATAGTTATATGATGCGTAAGCAGAACTGCAGAGAAACAGGTTACAGGAAATCAAACAGGTTTCGAACTTGAACGAGGGAGCACCAACCGTACCTTCACTCCTGAGCAAACTTTTGAACGCAGACATGCCTATCAATGGTTGACATTTACTACATTTTTTGACCTGAGCATGTCCGGTGATGTCTCCGCGTTTGTTTTCAGTGCTTCTGGAGGATTTCCATCTGGCCCTGCTACTTTCCTACATTTCAGTAGCTTTATGAAGCTCAGGACTTCACTTTTGCCTTTGTCGGAGGGCCTGTGTTCACTGGTAGTTCTGCCGTTGCTGATGGAATTTTCGGACGAGATGCAGGTGGTGGTGGTCGATTCAATAGTTTTCTGAAGTGATCAGCCCATCGTTTCCTTTGTTTCTCTTCTTTGGTGGCAACTAGGTTTCCCTCACTATCTCTAATTGGTTTCATCTGCGTTGATCTATTCCCTTCCGGATAGTATTTTGGTTATTTGATACAATGTTGTCAGGTCTCTGTCTCTCCTACCTGTAGCCTGTTCTGTTTCACTTGCAAGTGTGTCATAGAAGTGTATTTTGTCTTTTCGCGTGCTCTTCTTCACTCCTTTGTCCAGTGTAGTGTTTTATAGGTTGTGTTCACTTCCTCTTTTCGTTGTTCATCCCTGCACTGGACTGCAGTCCACTTGTTCATCTTCTGCTTCTCCATCTTCCCCTCCTTCTTCTATAAGCATCCGTGGAGATCCATTCCTTGTTTCTTTTCTACTACAAGTAATACCAAACACTAAGGTGATTGTAAAACAACGAGATTAGCCGATTGGCAGCTTCTAACTAAGTACGCTCTTCGTCAAATGATTAATAAACTTTAAAATTCATAGTAATTAAACACATACAAAGATGACATTACATTTAATCCACGTCCACATTGACCTTAATTGAACATCGTCCTTAACAATTTCAACGTATGTAGCACCTTCAATCTGTAAAAATGTGTAAATATAGTCTCTTTTAACAAAATTATAGATAACTGAGACGCTGAGAATGTAAAATCTAACTCTAGTGAGAAAAAGATAAAAGCTTCAGTACAGTATAACTTACAAACTAATTTTACATGTAATGGGAGAAATATTTCAACTTTAATCAAATCCTGATACAGTGCAACTCGTCACTATTATAACTGGCAATATATATATATATATATATATATATATATATATATATATATATATATATATATATATATATCTGGACAACAACTTTTGAAATGGTGGAGAATATTTATAGCTCAGATGGATGGTCCTGGTTATATCGTGTTCTCTGAATTGGGCAGTTTAATTGTGGAGCTTTCATCGTCTCGCTAGACGACATCATCGGCACTAACTTCATACAACCAAGGATAGCAACTTTTACTTCCAGTACATAGCATCTGAGCAGAGACAGTTAAAAAAAATCAAATAATTGAACCATTGATAACTAATGATCGCGAAACAGTAATTGAAAATAGAATGCACTACACATAGACTGCATTATCCACAGAGTTAAGTTACGTAATTCAACATTAAGCGCTTGATACGATACAGAACGCTACGTCCAGATGTATACACAGAAACTACCTCTGGACAAAGAATATCTGTATCATAACCTAACTACTCATAGGTAAGAGGGAAGGCGAAGTATCAAAAAGTCGAATGCATTTTACACTGATCTGGATTTTAGCAACAAAGGGTAGAAAATTGTGTGGCTAACAGTCTTTCAAAGTGGAGTCCTAGTGAGGTAGTCGTATTTTCAAGCACCTCAACTTTTAAGAGTTATTTGTGCTCCTCTAGATGAGGGACTAGTTGCGTGGACTTAATGATCCTACATTTCAAGTCTCCTTATCACTTGGGCTATGGAGACATTCTTTTCTTAGACCACTTTGCTTCTGTAATTTGTTCAGTTGCCGTCACCATGCTAAATGTTTCCAGAAGTAATGAGCCAACAGGTGGATCCTCGTTATTTTGGACTCAAAGTTGGCTTTTGTATCGAATGCAGCTGTATTACCCAACCACGTAATCATATAACATTCCCCCATGACGCCTTGTGATACAACCCATTATTCATGGAGAATGTCCTCGGAGGTAGTCTCTAGCATAGACAACACCGGGGAGAAAGCCATTCATTTTCTTCGTGGCGTGTACTTTCAGATGATTTGTTGGTACCAGTGCGCCGAATGTGGTGCACACTTTCAGGCGCTGTAAACAGTGAAGAGGATGCCAGTCACTTGCGCTAGAGTGACAATTTTAGGTTATTCAAGAGTTGCACTGACAAGAATCAAATACATCAAACCAATTATTGGACCAGCAAAATTCACGTGTACATGCGTTCAACGTTTTCTGACTGAGACTATGCTTGCGGAGGAACTCATGAGGGTAGTGTGACTGCTCAACAGTAGTACAAGGATCTGAGTAACAAGTCTGCGATGTCTTGGCTTATACCATACACGTGACTCCTTTCATTCTTTTCGTATGAATACACCATCTTGACTTCACTGCTGAGTAGGATATAGTTGTGCCAGTAATCTCGGAAGGCACAGGTAAACGGAGAAGAGAATCAATCCATACAGTAAACAACAGTTGAACTGGGGTGTCAAATGAAGAAAAATGTGTGGTTAGAGATTTCAAGTAACTACATTCGATCTTAATCCTTTGTGACATGTTTAGCACACTGACATTCTAAAACTAGTTACACCTCGATTACTTACTTTTTCTACCTCATTCCGTATTACACTTTACTATACACACAAATGTAGGAATGAAAAAATCCATAGACTGGTGTGAGATAGTGCATATTATTCAGCCACAGAAAATGACAAAAGTTAGTTTCATACAGGCAATGAGTAGGAAGCCCTGCTCCACCTGGGTTTTGCGCCTTTTGGCTCTCATCAACAAGCCGTATCTGCATCCCGACGGAACTGATGTCCGTTTTACATTCGTCATAACATTTTCACCACTGATAAAAGTAGAAGATTTAAATCATAAATCCACTTCATATACGAAAAATAATAAGGTAAAATAAACACATCAACAATATTGTTCAACCGGATAACCCCATCTATTCCATGAAAACTAGTGCTTTCAATATGAATTATCCTGTTGTGTTTATCAGTTCGACTGCTCCTCTACAGCCAGTTACCTAGACCACTAATCTACATATCTAATTTCCCATGATCTTCAACACTTCCCAGACTGGTCAAATTAAAGTGTGATAAAGACCATTATCACCTCCATATCACCAACCTTCATTGAAACCAAACATAACCTGCATATGAATAAGTCACTTTACATCCTGTACCACCTTCCTATCAACTCGCCAACATCCACTCAGACAACTACAGTTATGTGTTCAAAAAAGCAAGTATTCCTGCTACAATCACCGTGACTCAACTCACGATGCACAAATTCCTTAACATCCCATCTCAGATAATCTAACTTTCTAATCCTATACTGCAGATATCCCACCACCCCTACACGAATACAAAAGGCTCGGTTGACTTTTGCCAAACTACGTCACCTACGGCACCGCCGTCATATCCAGTTATCTATTAAGGGTCACATGTACTGCACACCAGTCCGCTCCGTTCTACTGCATGCCCGTGAAGCATGCTCATTCAAGGTGGAAGACATCAGAAGGCTGACTTCAGGTGTTTCATCACCGTTGCCTTCATAGTATACATCGTATTCTGTGATGTCACCACATGAATAACGCAGAAGTCAGGTATAGAGTTTTAGGCAGGAGAGGTAAATCAGTTGACGAGGTTATAAACCTTCATCGAGTCAGATGGTTACCACATGTGTTCAGCAATGCCTAGTCCCCGATTGCCTCATCACACAATGTTGGCCGAAGTAGGTTCAGGCTGCAAAAACGGTCGAGGCGGACAGACTAAAACATGGCATCAATGTATGAAGTCTTTCACTGTCCTTTCGACCGATTAATCCCTCCTTCTTCAACTTTCACTTCACTGCATTTTCACTTCATGTACTGATATGACCTGTGGCAACGTGAACCGTCACGCAGTAATCCCTTGTCCCATGTTGATTTCCATAGATGGATCGATATCCCCTCATCCCTCCGTTTAATCTGAAATAATTTAAACACATTCTCTTCATCTATTTCGTCTCCCACAATGAATAACATTCTATCAAGCTACTATTACTCAAATTATCTTTCTTTCTTTGTTTCACCCAACTCCCATAAACACTTTCTTATTGTTCTATCAAACTACCACTATATAGTGTTTAGATAAACAATTGTTTGCAGTTGAATCCCAATAATAAGTGGTTCTATCATTCATGTAGAAACACAAATCTTTCCTCAACTGTATAATAAAGATTATTCACAAACTGATAACCGGAATCTCTATATTGTTGGTGCATAATCCCGTAATATGTACAAATAACTGTAAGAGTCAAAGTTATCGAAAAGAATATTTTTTGTCCACTCAAACCCCACAAACCTCCAAACTGGAAAACAGATTCTCTGTTCATAAAAATATCGACTGGCTGAACACAAACACATGAAAACACCTTAACAATATGAGGAAATGGGAGATCTGATGGTAGGGACTTTTGGAAACCCCCTTTATCTGAGGTCACTAGACTTACATTGGTAATAAGCAAGTCTTCGGGAATGACACCAAACACCCTGTTGCCAACGTTATGTACTTAAAATCACCAAAAGACAGTTTGTGGTTTCAACAAAACCATGATGCCGATATATAGAAAATACAAAAATAAAGACAAACTGCCCATCACAAAATAAGCTCTTCAAACTCCCAATATATGCCCTACATCCTTCCTTCCCTTGAGAGCATAATAACCATCCTTCCCCCTCTCTTACCCTAACCCTACATGTGCATACCAAAGCTCTTATTGGTTCTGAAATACAAGAAAAACAACTATCTTTGGTAATTTGTAGTACCGCCTAAGCTCAGACGTGAGAAATGCACCATACAAGTCTCCAAAGGCATTCTATAAGTACAATATTAAACTATGTAGCCACTTATTCCCCGTGCCCTCTTTACATACTCTACTTTTTAGTATTGTTGTCCCAAATCCTAAGATAACTAACTCCACCTCTCATGCATCTATGTTTCTCTTTTTCATCCGATATGCAGATTATGACCGCGGATCATTCGAACGCACACTCGACAGTGAAATAAACTTCAAATATCTGTTGAAGATCTAATGTTTCTTACCACGCAGAGATGCAAAAATGAAAATCAGAAGACAATTCATACCACACTAGAAGCTCCTGAAAACTTGTCTCCAATTAGAATTGAATCAAGAAATGTTGGTACTGCCAACCAATCGCCTAGTAACGAAGCAAACTGAAAGTGACCTCATATGAAGCGCCGATCTTGAAGACATATTTAGTGGTTTAATGACGAAACCTCACATATTTATTCAAATGACTCTGTTTACAACATCATAGACCTAAATCATTGCTATACGCTGTACGACACTACACAATACACGTCCGAAATTTCTTCTTCGGCTATTCCTGTATTTAAATCTAGTTTCACATGCAATTTGTAGGCAGCACAAATGTATTGAATATTCGTATAGTTTCAGCTTCATTCATCTTCATCGTTTGATACGCTATGTACTCTTAGTGATTATGTGTCTAACTATTACCAGGATACTGATCATAATGGCTGATCATACCCATATCACTTTTCACTGCTGTCGCGCAGCGAAATGATTTTTACCTAATATTAATGACTAGTAATATCCAGACAACTGCATGCTCTGGGAGACTATACATGGCTTGACGACTTTTTGAAACCAACTTTCTCATCTTTACTGAGAACAATAACATTTACATGGCATGTGTTCGCATAATTAATTCATAACTCGAAATACATTATTATTATTATTATTATTATTATTATTATTATTATTATTATTATTAAATCAGTGTTACAACTAAACACACTGATTTGTGAATGAAATAATGGTGAAAGTGTATGGATCGCGAATGATCTTCCTGATTGTGGTCAACTCGACAGAATCATGCAACAAATTGTGAGGAGCGGGAAGATGAGCACACTGTGGCTGGAGCGATGGAAACACCCCAGAAGAAGATTTGCATTTCGCAGGTGATTTATGTCCAATGTCTTGTTGGACAAACTCGAAGATCTGCAGGCGAAAACTAACAAGTTGGCAAAAGAGCCGAGGCAACAAAGACTGGACTTCCTTCAAGTGAACGTAGAGAAGACAGAGGTGAGGACCATGCCAACAACAACAACAAGCATAAATCACCATCAACGAGAGAAATCTAAACGAAGTTGTCCCTTTCACCTACCTGTCTAGTCAGTGCAGCAGCATCGTTTCAACTACAGGTGACACAGGCACACATCAGGATGTCACACCAACCAGGATCAAAAACACAGCAAGACAGACCTTCCTGCATTAATCTGAAATAATCAGTGTCGAGATCTAGTCCACTCAACTACACTCCAATCAGCATAAAGCCTAAACAATATCCGGATTTTCAACACTAATTCAGTCAATTAAGTCAGTACTTGCTTCTATGTGATGGTTGAGAGACTTGGCATGTTACGAAAAGCATTTCCAACAAACTACCGGTATACATCAACACATGCTGTCTACACTCACTCGATACTGATACTGAAGATCACATGGTGAGAATAATAATAATAGGCAACAAGGAACTATGGCTGACTGGCAACGAACCAACGAAGCAAGAACCTATCACCCAACAAATATGCAGTAGAAGAAAGTGGATATGGGGGTTGGATTGGACATAGACTTAGAAGACGGTTTGGAGATATCACGCGGTAGACCATACCAGGCCATTGAGTGGAACCTGCATGAGCGTCGTAGTCGAGGGTGATGCAGAGGAGATGGTGTGAGGAAGAAATGAACGGTTGTGGGCAGTCGTGGAGCCAGGTTCAAAAGACTGCAGAGAATAGGGTGAAATGGTGACGTGCTACCGAAGCCCTATGTTCCATTAGGAACTCAAAAGACAGATGATGATGATAATAATAATAATAATAACAACAATAATAGTGGATGAAATATTCGTCAAAGAGGGTATCAACACTCAAGGAAAAGAACTTACATCTAGTCCATATCCAAGTTCAGCTCGTCTCTTCATAATAACTGCGATATCTGTTTCTAGACTATGCTTTAATTCAATATGAAGTGCTGTTTGCGTTTCACCATAACACTTATTACTATCATCTTTATGAATAGTATTCTGATTGTTTACATGAGAAGTTCCTAATGAAATATCTCTAGTTTCATTATTACTGTTATTATTCATATTCTCTGATTGTTTACTATTAAAAGAATGTAGAAATTCCATTAATACATCTGGATTATTACTAGTGAATCCAGATGGATTAAATGCAATCCAATCACCACTATATGACCAAAATAATGTTTGATTAGCTGACCATCCCTATAGAGTACAAAGAGATAAAAGTGAAACAATCAAATGACAACATGAAAATGAATGAAGTTGAAAAAGATTCAGTACCACTCTATAATATGCTAATCAATTAACTAAATCCTAAGAAAACAATGAACAGTACTCGGATTAAAAATGTTTACAAAGATTTTTTAAAAAGAAAGCAGTTATTATGAAATATCATGACATTTCAATAGTTAAGTAGTTGAATGAAATTCATGAAATTACGATCTTTGTCTAATCAGTTGGATAGTTGGTTCATGTTGCTCTCAAACAAACGTAAAGTTTAAATTTTCACTTTCTATCTTGAAGAAAGGGGTGCAGAAATTCAAGGATCTCATGAAATTTAGAAACAAGTATAAAAACCTTATTTAAACGCAATATACAAACGATATACGCTGTGACTTTGAGCATACAGCTATGAATCTTACAACATGTCATCTTCAATAAATAAATTAAACGAAATCCCTTGTCATTACTACCAAGATGTTACAACATCGAATTGTGATGTATAAAACTAAAATATACTCAGTAGAATGTGAAATACAAAGCAGAAATTATGTTCTACATATATTCAATTTGTCTCAATTACTTATCAGATCAAATGGTCAGAAAGAATAAGCAACAACGAACTCTAGCTGGCTGGCTGGCAACGAACCGATCAACCAACAACCTATCGCCCAACAAATATGCAGAAGAAAGTGAAGATGAATTGGATCGGATTGGATGTACATTGAGAAGACCGTTTGAAGACATCACAAGTCAGGTCAGGCCCTCGAGTGGAAGCCAAATGGAAAACGATGAGTTGGGAGTCATAGTCGGGAATGACATGGAGGAAATCGTATGAGGAAGAAATGAAAGCTTCTGGGCAGTCGTGGAACCAGGTTAAAATGATTGCAGAGAAGAGAGTGAAATGGAGACGTGCTACTGAAGCCCTATGTTCCACTAGGAACCCAAGGGACAAATCTCTCAGGTAGAAAACTATTCTAGACAATAAGTCAGCTTTAGGTGGTAAAATTTTGTGAAATTAGATGATGAATATCGAAGAGATTCCTCTAGATCAATTATTGATTCCATAAATTAATGTCTGTCAAATGAACAAAGTGGATAAGTTCTCATCTCTTGTTACCTCTAAGCGTGTCTAGCAATTCACGTGTAGGTATCAAAGCGCATACATCGGAAGAACAGAGAGAAGGGTTCTTGTCCGCACTTCTGAACATATCCCGAAGAATCTGAGGTTTAAGTGTCCATAGGGTTTAAATAGTGCAATCGCTCGGCATTTGCTTGATACTTGGACATAAAGTCAACATATTGAAGTCATTCAAAGTGTTCAATAAACCACTGAAACCCATTCGTTTGCGGTTTCCTTAAGCAATTGCAATTCAAAGACTAAAACCTAATCCATGCATTCAGAAAGACACTGTTATCAATATTGCTTTACAGTGGCGTAATTTTAATCTTCTGAAATCAATAAAACCTCCACAAGCCTTCAAATTGAATTATTCTAGGGCTCATTGGTAACTAGCTTCAAGAGGTGACTCCCGAAGTTCTAATGAGAAGTCATAACTAGTGGGGTCAACCAAGTCAAACATGAAAACAGATATTCAACGACAGCGTTGGATGAAGGTCGCGCTATATCGTGACATGAGACAGGTAAGAAGTACGAACTACTAGATTCCAATCCTGTAGCTTAATGGTAACGTGTTGGCCACGAAACCTGAAGGTCACGGGTTCAATCCCTGGTGGGGTCATGGGTTTTCACTTCTGAAGAGTCCCATACTCTGACGAAACAGCTGTCCAGTGCTCCTAGGTCCCCAGTGTTTCTAGAATATTCACCCTATCACTGAATAAATAGTTAACCTTTGAGTAGTCTTAACAACTTCATCAATCTTGGTCAACCTGAATCATTGTCACCTCCCATCTTAATTAGAAAAATTCTCGTCGATTTATTAAAGTACGTCGTATAACATTGTTCATTATAAACACTAGATTCTATAGGTTCCAAAGCAGTTGAAGAGAGTCCATGAAACACATCCATGATAATTCTACTACTAATGTTCTTGATTTATTCAAATTCGTGAAAGTGAAGAATTGTATGAAGTCCTATCAAATGTGCTTATCAAACGTACTAACATCATTTCCTTTCAGTGTAACATCTCTGGAAAGAGTAAAGAAAAAATAGGAACCAAATTTCAAAAACAACTGATATATATATGTATCACCAACATAATAGAAGATGAAATTACAACAATTTTTGAGATGACCCTCTCTTCTTAATTAGTTAAGCTGTGATTTAACTTGACTTGGTTACAATCGTCGTACACACATGATTCTGTCAGTTCAGTATTGTATATACTTGCCCAATCTGGTATCCTGAATCTATCCACACGAGGAGTAACGCAATTCAGCCCTCCCAATGCAACAGCGTACAACAGAACACAAAGTCTGATGACTATTGTCTGTATACACTTCAGGCAATCTGATTCATTGTATGTACCAACTAAATCACCTGAGCACAACCTACCGTAATTTGTGACGATGAAAGAACAAATTTCAAGCACACAAATGGATTACACTCAACATGCAATGATTATTTCCGAAAGAAAAGTCGTATATAAATGGATGAGATGTCAATCGAAAGCTCTGGAACTAAGGTATATAATAATGTTACCGAATTAGTAATAAGTAAAATAGTCTTGATAATAAACAAAATGATACGACTAACGAAATATCTGAGATTCACGTGAATTGTCTAATATTTTAAAGTAGGCATAAGAAATAACGTATTTTATTAGATAGATACCCAAATTCAAAAGGAGACAGTACATAATGCTTAAAGCTGTTTACCACGGCCACGTAAACATCTACGTTTGTGAAGAATCTATATATGCTAAACGCCTATTGGAAAAAGCATAGTGTAGATACCAATTTCAGCTCAGAATATAGCTTATCATTTTGACTATCTGAGATAGCCCAGATTTGGAAGACTAGTATTTATACTAGATGATGACTAGGAGTGAAATGAAAACTTCGACCGCGGTGGGATTCGAACCAGCGACCACCGGGTTAGTAGTCGGGTCTTGTAACTCAGTTGGTAGAATACCAGGTCGGAAACCTGGTGGTCGCTGGTTTAAATCCTATCATGGTCCAAATTTTCATTTCACCTTTAATAATCACATAGTATAAAAAGAATACTATTTTAAAAGTTTCCATCATGTAACTTGGCTTTACTCTAATCTAAATTAGTTAAATATACGTAAAAAGTTAAACTAATCGAAAAATAAACGTTACGTAATGGCTGAAGGACGAAGTGAGCGGATAAACAAAGTCTAAAGAAATTTAGTAAATATATGAAAGGGGTAGAGAATAAGAAAGTAATAAGAGAAATTTCGATGTCATAGTTATTTATTAGGTAAACTCTGACCAAGGGAAAGATAAGGGATATGCAAACTTCTTCTGGATACAAAGATTATGAATAATAACTCCAATTCTCACAGCTTCTGCAATGTGTAAACGATGAGTTCAAATACCTTTCGAAAGACTTTGTGTTATGTGGTGAATAATCTTGATATATTGTTTTTATCTACGAAGTGACCACTATCAACGAGGTGAGATAAAACCGAATTTCTGATGGATTTTATATGTCTCTTTCCCAACCATGAAGATAGATGTTCAGCAATAAGATTGTTAAGTTGTCTAGTAGTATACCCAATAGAGCTTTCTGCACAGGAACAGCTAAACTTGTAAAAATACACATAGAAATGGCAAAACTAGATGGCCTGAAGAAGATCTAATTGAAAACAATATTATTTGACTGTATGTTTCAATGACCTCGAAAGATTGGGGTGGTGTTCAAAATCTCTCACTGTATTGTCTTCAATTGGTCTCAGCCAAGTTTTCCGCCAAAGGATAAGGGTGCCCTATGTTGCCACTCCTCAATAGTCATCAGCAGAAGTACTGACGAGGCGTAGACTGCTCTCAGCACATCACGCTACAATGCCTAGAACTTCTACACCGCCTTGTACTACTGAAAGTAATACAGGAGCTCTATCGATAGGTCCACCGTTTTTGTGCGTAACTATAGACCAGGGCATGACAACTGGGTTGATGGGTCTATTGTCCAACAACGTGGAAAGGTAACGTATGACGTTCGATTGGGACGTAAACCTGAACGCATCACCACAACCAACTGTGGTGGCAAGAAACGATAGGAAAAGAAGAACTAACGAATAATCTGTCATTAGATTTATTATTGGATACATTCAAACTAACACAGGCATCAATGGACTATCCACTGACACCAAAACCTCCTGAGACTATCGACACAACGATGGATTGACTGTTGCCGCCGACCGATAGTACCACTACAGGTCAACTTAAACAGAACACGTTACTTAATTCTTTAAAAAGAGGGGGTGTGAGGGATGCATATATCCTTATATTCCATACTTACAGTCTGAGTATATTCGAACTGTTTACTTCATGCTCTTTTTCCTGCGCAACGTGATTATATTACGTATGACCTGCTAGTGTTCTAATTGGCTCCTGCCTCCTTAAATGCACTAATTACTCCTTATCTTTCAAGATTACTGTAACCTCTATAAATAGATTCCGTTTTCACTAATGAATGTTTTCAGTCCGAGATACTATAAACTCACCTGATTTCCAGTCTTTTCATTTTTCTTCGCAAATCACTCATGTTGAACCACATCAACCCTAGACTATCAATCGTTAAGTACTCTCGTTCGTTCTAGCAACTCGGCATCATAACAAAAGTCTACCTTAAAATTTGTTTAACAGAACGAATCGAAATCCTCTAAGCAACCAATTACACATTAGTGCTATAGGCGATGAACCACACCTATTACGTTAGGGCTAATAATACTGCCACGTAACTGCGTGAATCTCCGTAGAAAGAGCAGTGATCGAACTCATGACTCATTTGGTTGACAGTTAACTGTCTATACCGATGAGTCACAAAGCTCTAAAGTTTATCAGAACACAATAATGGAATGTAAAACAGATAAAACAGTTAATGGGAACCAAAATGATATCTACCTACAAGTTGCTGTAAATAATGTTAATGAAATTTACTAGAGTTATAAATTCAATAAACAAACACGTTGTAATGAATACAGAATATCTAGGGAATAGCCATTTGTTTACCTTATTTACTTGTAATAACTTGCAAGTCATGCTAGTAAGAATGGCTAACAAATAGTATCAGAGTTCGATTTATTTGAGAAAATGAGTTATCAATCATTTTACTTAAGATATGAAGCTGATATATCAAGAATAGGATAGAAGCAGGACAAGAAAGACATTTGACGAAATGTAATTAACCTTGGTTTGTTGTTTACATATCAGATTCAATAAACCTGAAGTCAAATTGTTACTGGCTGCCATTCTGAGCCATATTATAAAGAAGTTGCAGGTTAATGAATCTTAGGACAGCTCAAGCCCCCCCCCCACCCACTGAGTTATATTGGACCAAACAATACTACTCCATATGCATAATTTCAACTTCACAGTATCATATTATTAACTGATTACTTTTCAGTATCTTCCAGCTAGGTCAATAATCAACGGTTAATATTCAAAATAGCAGGGATTGTGAATGTATAATTCACATATGGTCAACCTACAAAATCCATTCTTAAACGATGACTTCCACTAATCACTGATGATATTTTAGTCTGTTTATTTGATGTATCACAACATAGTGAAACAGTATTATTTACTAGATAACGTTTCAGACACCATCTTTTTATCCATATTCATATCACAACTTTGAGACAGAGTTCATATAATATTCCTAATTTTCTCACCTTTTTTGTGATGACAAGGATAGTAGAATTCTCCATATATCTAGAACAGGTGCAAAATCTTGTCTATTGCATTTATCAGGTGTTGATTAGATAAACAAAGATTTGGTTATCAATCTCTCCCTCCACTCAACTAAACTAGTTTTCATACTATCGCTATATCCTCCATCCTATTGTGTGATTATATGCAAATGTATGCAGAGCTATAGCCGAGCTTCTCTCTTAATTTTTCATCTCATTAGGGTTCACTAATCTTGGTTTAAGTTGGTATTGAGCATGGACTGACATCACTTAGAGGAACATTGGAAACCTGGGAGCACCGGACAGCTGTCTCGATGACATTGGATGATAGTCGCGCTATATTCGTGAACAGAAGAAGTTGGAAATATAGACCATTGGATTCCGCCGAGCCAATGGCTCAATGGTAATATGCTGACCATGGAACCTGTAGCTCACGGGTTCGATCCCTGACGGGCTAGGGTCATGGGTGCACACTGTTGAAGAGGTCTATGCTGTCCAGTGCTCCCAGGTTTCCCATATTCCTCCAACTGACGTCAGTCAATGATGAGTGCCAACTTGAAAATTTTTTAAATTCCCACAAACCCCCAAATTTAATCTTGATTCAGTTAGGTTTTTGTGTCACTGTTATTCTCATTGACTCTGATCGACTTACTTTGGCTTATGCATTTAACCTCACAATCACTGCAAGGAATTTGGCAAACTAGATTATTTTACCTAATTAGAACAATGGAATCTATTAACCCACAAAGTTTGTTTCAACACGAGTTTGTCAAATTAAATGCTACTCTAATTTCAGCATTTTTGAGAATGTATGATGAACACAGTAGGGGGCTTTGCATTTTCTGACAGTTCACATAACTTCTCAACACAAGTTTTCAGGTTTAAATATAACCTCGATGAAATCTAAATACTGGCCAGAGAAATTCATCGGTAGAACCTAAAGCCAATAAACCTATACAGTTCGAAGTGGTTCATTTAATTACCTAATTTCACTTAATATTAAGTACGTACGTAAATAAGTAAACACTTACAATTGCTGCACGTTCAACTAGATGAGCAACATCCATACAACCATCACGATCCAAGGTTAATACACAGTTGACAATAGATGGATGCCAACTGAATGCTGCTAGACTCACACTTGATCGACTTGATGCTATTACAAGAAACAAAGTACAATACACACTTCAGAATTTTGATATACTCGAAATTTCAAAATCATGATACATAGTCTATATACCCACCATATAATAAGCCTTCTAAATCCTCTGAAAAGGTGCAATCCTCTATCACTTAGGAACTTCAATAAAACCGATTGAGATGAAATTAGCCACAATATGGGTTGATAAGCTTTAACAATGTGCTATTTACTCTAGTAGAAAACTATACCTTAAAGTTACAGAAAGGAAGGCAACATATGCTATCCAACTATTTTTGAAAAACTTACGATACGAGTGAAACATACAAAAGAATTTAGTTTTTTCTCTATTCCCTAAACATTTATGGTGCCAGTTAGTTAGCATTAACGTATGACTTAGTATTGCTTGAGAACTGTTCTAATTATCACCTATCAATTCTGCATATCAAAAATCGATATAAAATTCACTTTCTTGACGTAAATCTGAAAAGAACAGCTGATCGAAAGTTAAGTAGATCAATTCACAGAAAACCAATGTGGAATGGTCAACTGATGAACTTTAATAGCTGAGTCCCTATGAGTTGTAGCGAAACCTCATCATATCTATTGCTACTCATATTATGCGAATCTGCAGTTCCAATGTGTTAGAACAGGAAACTTCTGTGCTAAAGAACATCCTGATTGAAAACGTATTCCCACCATGTTTCATAGATAAAAACACCAAGTCTAAACCCCGCAAACAGAGTCTTACCACCGAGCCAAAAAAAGACACTCTATATGAATCGAAACCTCAAAGATGATTCTGCCGATGACTCTCTAAAAACGAGGATATCAAACGCTCTAAGGAGAATATTCTTTGCATCAACTCTGAAACTAGTATTCTCTTGTCACCCAACGATTTCCAACAATTCAAAGGAGAAACTTTCGCATCTGACCACTTCTTTGTGCATATATCAATTCACCTGCTCTTGTGGAGCCAGGTATATAGGTCGTTGGATGGGACTGTTATCCAAAAGGGTTCAAGAACACTATCCCACGTGGTTACAAAGAGGTAACAAAGGAGCCATGAGGAGTGCTATAATGGAACACATCGTGAACACAAATCACGCTATTTCAAGAACGTCTTCATTCAAAGTCATCTATAACGTGGGAAGAAATCCTCCAAAGGCTGTATGTCTTTGTATTCTCTGCATCAACGAAGCTTTTGCAATCCATATGGAGAAACTTGAACTGTGTACGGAAAAGAAGATTGTTCAATCCTTTCTCCTTTCATAGTCTTAGTCTTCAGTCTCCTCTACCCTGTGTCCCGTTTTTATTTTCATTTTTTTGTTTTGACACTATTCACTCCCTAAGTAACTTGTTATTCATTATTGTTGTTATGCTCCGCCTGATCACAATTCACTTCCCAATTATATCGCCATGTCACGAAACTTCTTATTCAAACTTATTTTGGTTAATATTCAGTACTTATCACAGATTTCTGATTGTAATGGCAACACATTTATTGACACTATTTGTGTTGCCATGCCTTGCAAACCGTTTTTAACTATCAAATCCTTAGACTAGAGAGAAATGTATAAATTTGCGACCGTACAGCCTTGAAAATGAAATCGCCGAAAGTACAAGGTAACAAGAAAGAAAGACAAGATAAGCAGGTGCAATGATAATAGTAACCAGAAGTAGTAGAAAGTTAGAAGACAAGATGCGAGAAGATAAAGAATGTTAAAATGAAATAAAGCGTGAATTTATATGCACAACTGAGATCCATTCGGAGCCATACCACAAACAGTCCCAAACCAACGATTTCAACTTACCCTCAGACCCTAATCACGAAGTCTATTTTCATCCGCACAGCTCAGAACTAAGGTCCGATAATTCATAAACTTATGCTAAGTTTTACTCTGGTCCCGGCTAGGTATTTTTCAGCTAAGACCTGTTTCTGCTAAAACTATATTTCGAGACAGATAGTGACTAGGCATGCGTAGCATATATTTCAGCCACCTGAGTAGATGAAGATTCACAACCTTAGGATTTGGTCAACCTATTTTAACTAAGATTTTACACATAACCTCCGCATTACACATGATGGTTTCATGTATTACTGTTTATTAAGAACATGAACTTGGTGTAAAATGGGCACCAATGGATGTGTCATACCAAATGATCGATAGAAAGATTGGCATACACTGAGAAGACCGTTTGAAGACATCACACGTCAGGTCAGGCCCTCGAGTGGAAGCCAAATGGAAAACGATGAGTTGGGCGTCATAGTCGGGAATGACATGAAGGAGATCGTATGAGGAAGAAATGAAAGCTTCTGGGCAGTCGTGGAGCCAGGTTAAAATGATTGCAGAGAAGAGAGTGAAATGGAGACGTGCTACTGAAGCCCTATGTTCCACTAGGAACCCAAAGGATAAATAATAATAATAATTACTTTGGTATTAGTTATTGTTGTCCACTTGTTCTTTGTATACTACTGAGAAGTGTGACAACTTGAACAGATACACTTCTCTGCGAGGTTTTACGTTGATTTTATCTATCTGTCATTCGTAAACATGATTATTACAGTACAGAAATCTAATTTAAAGTACTTATATGTTTTACAATATATTTAATAATTATACGATAACTCGAATGGTGGGGTAACCAGTATCTAGCGTGAAATTTACCGTTGACGATCGAAACTTACTGTTTTGTTCACTGAAACAAAACGGATCTGTAGTAGAAGTAGTGGGACAAATTATAAAGACATAATCTTTCTTTTAAATTATATCAAAAAATAGTACTTACGGAAAAGTAATCTTTCCAATGGAATTTGTTCAGGTTCCTCTAATGGTTGACAAAACATGGGGTATGTATCATATAACTTAACCACGCAGGAATCTGTTAATAATACACCTAACCAAGCTTCTCTAAAAAAGACAAGATATTTTTTTAAAGACATTTACGCATGAAATAACACGGTATGCTGTAGTTATTACAAGTGCAAGGTATCCAAGAAATTCAAATCGCGGTTTACACTTCTACACTTCGATTCAATCAACTCATCAAAACACATTTTTGAATGATATGCAGGAGATGCCTTCGGCATTTGATTCTGTTCTAAAACCTCTTTCGCTGGGTAGGCTACACGGGACTAATACTGAGCTGCATTCTTATTTCTCTAAAAGAAAACAACATACTGTTCACAGAAAGAAACACTCCACTTTATTGCTTACTGTGACTGGTGTTCCCCCACGAGCCGTCCTTTCTCCTCATCTTTTATCCTTCCTTCTGCATCACTTACCATCTTCACATAGCATCCATTTCACAAAATGTGCTGATGACCTGACGGTTGCCATACTTGTCTTCTCTTCAGAAGATTGCTCCCAACTGAATAATTTCCTTTCTACTGTTAGACGATGGTCCTCCGTGAATCAACCTGTGCTTAATTCTTCAAAATTTCTACCTATAAACTTTAGTTTTAGACGTGAATATAACCTATGGAAACTGCTTAGTTCTCATGATCCCTGCTGTTCTATTGATAGTTGTTCACTACAGAATGTTACAAGTGTGATTTATCTCGGTGTGGATTTTTCTTCCAACCTTACCTGGTCTTCCCATATCTCAAAACAAACAAAACAACCCAAAACAATTTTCTCCCTAACTTTCTATACTATGAAGCTGAGAGTATCTGGTATTACTCAACATCTCCTCTTGTGTCTTATAAACTCCTGCATCTTGCCTCTTCTTCTACATTGTTCTCCTTTACTTTTCCTGGCTTGGTGGAACAGACTATGTTATATTGCATAGAACATTGAAGATTGTCAGCAGAACTAGTGGTGTACCTCCAAATCTTCTAATGGGAACCGTTGTGGACAAATATATTAACTCATGTAAACATCTATCAGGAGTTATTTTGTCAGATGATCAACATCCTCTTCACTCAAAGTTCTCTGTGTGTCGATCATCAGGAAAGACAAGGAGCAAGTACATAACACTCTATGCACGTACTACAACATATAAACACTCTACAATACACTACGTATTTAACTAGTCTGCTGTGGGATGAAGGAAGCATTAGAAATGATCTAACTAATCAACTTCCATGATTCAAAGCAAACTAATTCATGGTGAGGATGTTACTATTTACATATTATGAATCTAATTGCCAATGTGATTGCCCACCTAAGTTAACTGTACATTTTGAAGAAAGTTGTAGATGGAGTGAACATTCTTATCTTTCTTTTTGTGTTTAATTTCTACTTATTTCATTTTTCTATGTAAACATGTACACTATTTCTGTCCAACTGATGCTACATATTCCATGCTGAAAATTCTGTATAGTATTCTCGAAACATGTCTTAGGATGAAGCCATCATTATTATTATTATTATTATTATTATTATTATTATTATTATTATTATTATCTCATTTGCGCATATTTATTCCACACATCGAAAATGTGAATGGACTTCAGTGGACCAGTGATCACTAGAAAAACAATTAGACACGATATGACTATGGGGGGCTGTTCATTTTATCGTGGGGAATCCTCACAACCCCCCCCCAAATAAAATTGATCTAGTGTTCATTGGTGAATAGCTTCGAGAGGTGATTCCTGACGTTCCAATGAGAAGACATGACCGGTGGGGCAAACCTAGTGGCTGTGGGGATAAATACCTAATGACATCGGGTGATGGACACACTATATCGTGAACTGAGAGAAGTTGGAAATATGGAGCAGAGGATTCCGCTGAGCCAGTGGCTTAGTGGTAACGTGCTAGCCACGGAACCTGAAAGTTCTGGGTTCGATCCCCAGCGAAGTCATGGTCGCGCACTGCTGAAGAGTCCCATACTAGGACGAAACAGCTGTTCAGTGCTCCCAGGTTTTGAATGTTACTCCATCTGATATCGGTCCATGATGAATACCAACTTGGAAAAAAAATCATTACTTGATATCATTACAGACAAGTTAGCCCCTTTTGTCATTTCTGTATGTTAGCCAATTCAGTAATTCCTGAACAGAAACGTATACCAACTGTTCTACTAGACAACTCAACAAACATGTTCTTGAACAAGTTGATTTCTGACTGGGAAAAGGATACATGAGGTCAATACTAAGTTCAGTTTTGTCACAGCCGATAATGATATCACAATAGAGAAGTTAGAAGTGTTCAAAATAACTCATCATATTCCACTACAACTTCCGAACGGGATAACTATTCACCATCTATACATCTAGACAGAGACAAACCAGTGTAGAATTTCATACAGAATTGCATCAGTTGAAGATGATACACAACACAGCAGAATATGATAAACAAATGGATAGAAAAAGGGTGATGCTGAAATAGACTAAAGTGTATGAGGGAAGTGAGAAGTTAAAAGAAATGAACCTTAATAAAAATCCCTAAACTTTCGAGTATCCCAACCAATCTCCAACCATTTCACCAAATATCACCAGCCACTGAATCCCCTAAACGGTTCAGACATACAGACAAACACTTTATGCACTACTCTCATATCTTAATTCGGTCACCCTTAGCCTCCTTCCAACGTGATCACACAATTTAATACTGCATGTCAAGATAAGTGGTGACTCAGCATGCAAAACACGTAGTCAAGCTACCTTAGTCACCGAAGGTTCACAACTTCACCAACTGACTCACCATCTTCGTCTAGTATTCTACGTCCAACTACAACATTTCCCACACGGTGATTCTATTACACGCGAACACTGCTATGATATACCTGTGGTCAAAAGCCTATATCCTCTCTATACCTTCCACTTTCAATGGTCACGTCTCATAGCCGTATGACAAAACATAGCAAACTGTTGCATAGTAAATGAATCATTCGACAAACAATCAGAAGTCTCACCGGCACCAGAGACTGTGTGAGTTGGCAGATGCCAAATGGGTGTCTAGCATCCCAGCTGAGATTTTTCTAAGAACCTTGAGAATATCCAAGTAAATGACATGTTTAATGCACTTGGTGCACATTAGTCCTGAAGCATCCATCTAACATTCGACAAGTACAAAACGTATTTCAACGAGTTCAGTGAACTCTGCATTTTGTCAGCATCTTCGCCTAACATGGCTATGTTGTCTGTGAACTTTAAGTCAACTAGGTTTTCTGTTGAGAGTATATCACCTCCTGAAAAGTTGAAGGTACCTAAGAGTTATAGTCATTAGCACGTCCGTATGAAAGTCAAACACGAATGGAGACAATGGACATTCCTGGTGAACACCACTGGATGCTCTTATTTCAAGTGACAACTCCACAAGGTCTTTTTATATGGATGCATGAGTTCAAATAGACAAGCTTGATTAGCACTACATAGTTGCTCAATATTCCCTTCACACTTACACAACACCTTAGAGTCTGAAATCTGCCTGTGTTTCTCAACTTTGTTAATCTCGAGCTCCGGATAAACATCATATAAATATGGATCCTAGAATTTTAAAGACAGTGCTAGTCAGACTGATTTTCTTTCGGTCTTAACACAGAGACATCTATTCCTTTTGTAAGCTGGAATAACCAACGATCTGGGCCGGTTTGACCGGATTAGTTGTAATTCCGACACACCAACTAGTATCTATGTTGATCTACTGAGTAATTCTGGTCTTTATCTCCAGAAAACGTTAATATGACCTATATTTCTGCCTTGATCAGAGAAAACTTGATAGTTTAAACGACTTTTTCAACTATTTTCTCATTTGATTTTAAAATCTTGAGATAGAAATCACTACGAAGATGAAAAATTAGAATAACAATGGTAATAATAATGTTTTCAGCAGTAAAAACTATAAGGTAGAGTGAAAATAAGATAGGACGGATAAAATTGTATGAAATTAGGCTACCGAAATCAATTTAAGGCCATATTCGCTAAAGTTTAAGCCTATAAAGCTATAAAGCCAATATTTCCTCATACAGATTAGAGCAACAGTCGGGAGATTACAACGCATTGGTTCCGCATCTTTATCTAAACACATTTAACTTCCTTTCAAAGTAATCTTATGTTAGTGTGATAGTATTGACGGATACTGGTTAGCAGTGGAATCAAAAACGCGTGTTTTGTCCTATTTGAGACTCGTCAGCTGGACGCACCCGGCTTCCAGTGAGTGTCGTTTCTACTAATACTCGAATCAGTTGCACGATTTCTTTAGCCACTATAAGGGTTAATACGACTTCTTACGTAAATAAGGTTAGTACCACGCTCAGCACCTTCATTCCTGTTGTTTTATGAAGCATCGATGCTGAAAACCCCGTCCCACACATTATGATATCATCGTATAAATTGTTCAGAAGCATATGGATTTCGTCATCGTCTTTATATAACAGAATTCTATAGCCTGCAAACTTTTCATTATTCAAGGAGTCTCAGATGAAGAGATTAACAAGTGAGATCATAAGAATAGAAAGGGATCTTTACAAATAAATCTTTAACAAAATTAAAAGTGGAAAAAGTGATCGTCTATAACAGGCACCTGATGATGTAAAAGCTCCAAAAGGCTCACTGTATGTATTGGAACGAACGTGGATATCTAAGTATGAAGTCTTCACTGAAACAATATACTTGCCAGGAATCCTTTTTATTGAAATGCAATCAAATACCTCTTTCAGGTCTAGATATATATGTCGTATAATGTACCGGTAAGCCTAGATCTATTGCAGAAGCATGTAGACAGTTAGGTCATAGTCAAAACACTCATCAACGCGTCTAAAACATGTTTACTTTTCTCACGTTCGTTGTTCCTCAGCCTCATTTAAACATCAAACGATTATGAAACCAAGAGTCTTGAAAATAAGGTCTGTCTACTTAATTCATTTTTAGTTTCTTGAAGAATTCAATAGCAAATGAATCTAAGCCAACAGTTCTACTTGTAGTATGCCGATCAGAAATGCTATCTGACGGCTTCTATACCAGTAGGTGTCTTAATGGTTGAAAACTAATCACCTAAGGCAGTGAACCGCGTCATTGCACTTGAAAAGGACGATATAAGAAAGTTACAAGTATTGAATGTAAGTGATGGATTTATTCAAACGACAATTCTAACGTTAGAAATTGAGTTTTAGAAAAAGCAAATAGATTGACAACGCTGTAAACTATGAGTTGAAATACTTACGTCGTGTGTAAAGCTTTTCCAATCTATTTAGAATATGTCTATTTGATTCTAAGATGTTCACTGGAATGAGTTGGTCAAAAAGAAAGTAAAGCACATTCAGTTATCATCAAAATCAATATAAGACCAGACATTACTGAGTGACGGTCCAAGTTGCCATATCAGCATAAGGCAATAAAATGGAAGATGAAGAAGGAAGGATTAATCGGTTAAAAGGAGTAGAAAGTAGTAAAACAAAGGAAGGAGGAAATGATGAGATTAAGTATGGCGGTTAAGATTAGGATAATGTGTGTGGATACACCAGCGCCACCGACATCGGCTCTGAGCAATATCACCCAGAGTCTCCAACCATTGGTTTCCTTTGGTCCGCGGATCCCAACCGGATAGTCTGCAACGCCCCACATGGCTCAAACCAATAGTCAAGGACTTCACAAACTGATGTCATATTTTAGTCTGGCCGCCTCGAGTCTCTTTACAGACTTAACTACTTCAGCCAACATAGTCCGACAAGGCGGACAGTAGCTGGGCATATGTAACACATGTCCAACCATCTCAGCAGACGGAGATTCGCAACCCCATCAACTGTATTACCTCTCCTCCTGACTTCTTTATTACTCATGTGGTGACACCACGACCTCATCAACAACGACATATGACTAGGAATTACTGCGTAACGGTTCAAGCTGCCACAACTCATATCAGCACATCTAGTAAAAAGGCAGTGAAGTGGAAGATGAAAAGAAAATCCAGTCAAAAGAAATATAAAGTACTAAAAGGGAAAAGGAAGAATGAGAAGATGGTGAGATTCGGTATAGCGTCGTTAAGATGAGGATAATGTATGTATACATCTGTGCCACTGACTTCCATTCTGACCTATGTCGCCTAGAATCTCCAACCACTGGTTTCTCTGGTCCCGCAGACCCCAACCGGCTAGTCTGCATCGCTCAACATGGCTCAAACCAACAGTAAAAGACTTCATACATTCATGCCATGTTTTGGTCTGGCCGCCTGAACCTACTTTGGCCAACATTGTGTGACGAGGCAATCGGGGACCAGGAATGCACAACACGTGTCGAAGTCAGTCATCTCAGTCGATGAAGATTCACAACCGTTTCAACTGACTTACCTCTCCTGCCTAAAACTCTACACCTGACTTCTGCGTTACTCACGTGGTGACACCACGGAATACGGTCTATACTATGGAAGGCAACGGTGATCAAACACCTGAAGCCAGCCTCCTGATGTCTTCCACCTTGAATGACCATGTTTCACAGCCATACAGTAGAACAGACCGGACTGCTGTGCAGTACATGCGACCCTTAATAGACAATCGGATATCATGGCGGCGTCACAGGTGGCGTAGTTTGGCAAAAGTCAACCGAGCCTTTTGCATTCGTGCAGAAATTTCATCGGCTACTGAGCTACTAGGGCTTCCCAAGTAAGTGAAGTGATCGACACACTCAACCACTTCACTGTCTACTGTTAGCCGTGGGACCGCTGAAGACCAATCCTGGAGCAAGAATTTGCATTTGGGTGGTGAGAAACGCATCCCAAACATTCTCAAATTCCCACTCAAAGTGTTCAGAAGACTGCATCTTGTCAGCCTTTTCACCTAGCAGGACTTTGTCATCTGCATATTCTAGGTCTCACGAAAATTCCCCTGTGATTAGGTCAATGTCTGTGTAACCTAGTGATGAGAGGGAGACCTGCATAAGAATATCTATGATGAAATTGAATAAGAATAGAAACAGGGGGCATCCTCAACGGACACAACTCAATGAGCATAGCTCCCTGGACACCTCATCATAAGATCTAACACGCCAAGAAGTGTTCGAGTAGAAAACCTTCAATAAGGTGATATACTTATTCGGCACGCCTTTCAGCGAGAGATATCGACATAAGACTTCTCGATCAACGGGGTCGAAAGCCGTCCACAACCTACGCTACGAAGGCGACGGTCGTCAAACACCTGAAGCCTTCTCATGTCTTCTACCTTTAATGTCCATGCTTTACAGCCATACGAGTAGAACAGAGCGGACTGCAGCACAATATACTCGACCCTCAATAGACAATCGGATATCGCAGCGGCACCCCAGATGGCGTAATTTGGCAAAAGCCAACCGAGCCTTTTGTATCTAAATCACACTACTGAAGGCTCCACTTTCAAATACTAGTTGTTATCTCTGAGCCCACTGTGAGTCATTATCTGAAGTGGATTTGTCAAACAGTATTCATTTGAAACTTTTCATTTCTGCTCAACTTTACTACAAACAAACATCAAATCCCCTTGTAGATGTTTGCCTCTCATAACACTCTAGTGGATCAATAAGACGCATGGTAAAAAGGGACAATAATTATGACAATTTGCTTGGTTGTGGCTAGCAGAAGAATCTAGGGGCGCGTTTCGTCCTATTTAGGACTCGTCAGCTGGATGTACCTACACCCTACTGAGACTCGAACCTCGTACCCATCACTTCGATCCAGTAAAAAACAGTGGAGAATTACAAGTATACCAATAAATAGTAATGTACAATAATTATCGTTGTTTTTCCATTCAGTTACTCAGTCAGTCAAATTACGCACTTATTTAGGCTTCGAAGGTAAAATTTCATACATTTCTTTCTCTGCGATTAATACGGACTTTACTCTATGGGATTAAATTATATTTATTCATAAAACGTCATTACCTTAGAGGACTCCATTTGATTTGTTGGATATCACCAGACTCAATAAATGTGTAAACCTATTTTTCAAAGAAATAGTGAGATCAAAAAAAAGGGAAGTGTTAAAAGTAGTCAACTTTATGTAAGAATATCAAGGTGATTTTTCTGTTACAAACTGATATCAAAGCATAAGACTTAAGCGATTACTGGATATTTTTAAGTCTAAACTTTAAAGTTTTGAATTTGACTTGAAAGGTATAGAGTGTTTGACGACCGTCGCCTTCGTAGCGTAGGTCGTGGACGGCTTTCGACCCCGTTGATCGAGAAGTCTTATGTCGATATCTCTCACTGAAAGGCGTGCCGAATAAGTACATCACCTTATTGAAGGTTTTCTACTCGAACACTTCTAGGCGTGTTAGATCTTATGATGAGGTGTCCAGGGAGCTATGCTCATTGAGTTGTGAATCTTCATCGACTGAGATGACTGACTTCGACACGTGTTGTGCATTCTGGTCCCCGATTGCCTCGTCACACAATGTTGGCCAAAGTAGGTTCAGGCGGCCAGACCAAAACATGGCATGAATGTATGAAGTCTTTTACTGTTGGTTTGAGCCATGTTGAGCGATGCAGACTAGCCGGTTGGGGTCTGCGGGACCAGAGAAACCAGTGGTTGGAGATTCTAGGCGACATAGGTCAGAATCGAAGTCAGTGGCACAGATGTATACATACATTATCCTCATCTTAACGACGCTATACCGAATCTCACCATCTTCTCATTCTTCCTTTTCCCTTTTAGTACTTTATATTTCTTTTTGACTGGATTTTCTTTTCATCTTCCACTTCACTGCCTTTTTACTTGATGTACCGATGAAAGAAGCAAAAGACCGGTATGCAGGAAGGAATGTTTATTGTCAACAAGTGGGACGGTAGTCGTTAAATATGGCACACCTTGCATTAAAATCGTCATTTGCAAGATATGCTTCATTCCTCTCCTGCTTCTTTCTTGATTTGCTTTTTATACGCCTGCCTTATCTTTTGCGTTTCTCTTGGCGGAATCCTTACCCATTGCTGGTAATTCCCTATGATTTCTGCCACCCTCTCAACACATACTATTTATATTCATTGTTAGCAGCAACGCCCACTACACTGATATGAGTTGTGGCAACTCGGACGTTACGCAGTAATGCCTGGTCTTATGTTGAAGATCATGACGACGCAACTTAGACGGAACTGATGTCCCACCTGAGATACTAATCCACATCAACCAGAATTGTGGTCAGAGACGTTAACACTGAGGTATTCAGGCCACTATTGACCTCCTGTGGGACTGGGGGTTAGGTACATTGATTGGCTACTGGAGGGTAACCAACTTCCTGTAGTCTAGTTTAAAGTCGTGATCGAAGTCGGTCGATCGTTTCGGACTATAGTTACCACGCTAGGAGACTCACCATCGTAGTGCATAGAGATAGATGTTAGTTGGATGGAGGTAATCGACAAGAAGCTTTGAAGCCTATTACTTTTCCAAGGTTTGTTTATCAACTGCAGAGTTTCGAGAAAAATACGTATGAGTTAAGATATGATAATAAATATATTAACTGCTTTAGTATAGCTGAGGAATACGAACTAATAGCAGTTAAGTACATTATATCCTCTTCAGTTGACATGTAAACTACTACACACTAAGGTACAACATGAATGAATCGGTCAATCACTTTACAATTACGAACACTTCTGATCAGTGTGAAAAGAAAATTCTTTAATTAATTTTATTTTTGACTATCTGAGATAGCTATTGTTTAGCAGACTAGTATTTGTTACTGGATGATAAGTGAAGGTGAAATGAAAATTTGGACCATAGCCGGGATTTGAATCAGCTACAACCGGGTTTCTGATCCAATCCCTCTACTAATTGAGCTACGAAGTTCGATTGTTAATCAAATTCTTTAATGCTAAGCATGTAGTAATGAAATTAGAATAAATTTTTGACACAATTGTACTTAAAAGTGACTTTTTATTCATCTTGACGGCTAACAATGGAATCCAGCGATCTTTTCAAAGTTTCTTCGCGTAAGTGTAAGATAGTTGATCATTTATTTACAATGAGATGAACTCAAAGTTTGCATAAAGATTTAACCAAAGAAATGTTTCAGGGAGTTGTGGGGATTTGGAAATATTTCAAGTTGTTATTCATTGTAGACTGATGGTCATGAGGATAGTTACTCAACGATGACATTGGATGGCAGTTGCGCTATATCGTGAGCTAACAGAAGTTGGAAATGTGGACCACTGGATTCCGCCAAGCCAGTGGCTCAATGGTAACGTGCTAGCCACGGAACTTGAAGGTCGCGGGTTCGATCCCTGCTGGTGGGGTCGTGGGTGCGCACTGCTGAGGAGTCCCATACTAGGACAAAACAGCTGTCCAGTACTCCCAGGTTTCCTTTAATCCTCCAACTGATGTCAGTCTACGATGAATAACAACTTTAAAGAAATTTTTACGGACATCAAAACTATGAGAACAAGTGAGAATGTAACTTGAAATAAAACTAAATAAAACACCAACTTACAGGTTTTTCTAAATTATCCAGTCTCCATATAGAAATCTGTCTCTAGAATTACAAAATAATAGATAAAAAATAATGCAGTTTTTAAAAATGGTTAAATCTGTTGAAAAATGCAAAAATTTAAATAATCCAATCCATGATTAGTTACTGTGTTACTTGAACTAAAGAATTAACTTCTAAGTTTTTGTGAATAAGAACAAGACGTGTATCAACGAAGAAGAAGCATTTCTTTTCAACAACTTTATCATTATGCTATACAGTCGTATTTATACTCCATAACATGACAGATAAATTGCACTAAAACAGTTGTTCAGTCAATATGCAAAATATATACATTACGTGTACACTGGGTGGTATTTGTCCAAGTGGAAGAAATAGAAAATGGGTCACTGTGAATAAGGAGATTGGATAACAATTGGTGAGATAAGACACTAATGTTATCAAAGAACGGTGATAATTTAGCTGAAACATGCAAAGAAAGAATAAGGGATACAAATGAAAACAAAAAAATAACAAAATTAGAGAAGGGTTAAAAAATTTTATGCAAAGTTTCGGTTTTTATTCATGTATAGCTAATGTTTCAGTTATGCATAAGTGATGAAAACGTAGATTGTTTTTGCTTCAGTTCCAACACTTTTTTAATGAAATACTTACTTCTAATTAAAGTCTGGAAGTAAATTTTAATTCCCAATCTACTTGGATCCTGTTACCATTTGGCACTGTTTGCCAATATTCAGTAGAATTTTCGACAATGTATGTTCCGGTTGTTTTTGTCATATAGTACTAATAACACAAATTAGTGTACCACTAATTCTCCTACTTCGTTTGGAAATCTACCGTTTGGTTTGGTTTGGTTTGCTTGCGTGTTTCCACCTATACATCGAAGGATATACCGATAAATGATAAACAGTATAGAGAAAAACCATGTTGCTACGACACTTAGCTCCTATATACGATTAGTATTGAGGCTATCCCTATGAACGGAGTATGAAAACAATAACTGGAGATACAAACACTAGTGATGGAGGAGTGAATACTGACAAAGAAGCAGGTAGATAAATACATGTATACGAATGGAAATGAAATCAACTGTTATTTTTATCTATTAAAGTTTTATCAGAGCCTTCCCACCACCAGTTCCAATATCTTCAAGTGTCCTGTTGGGTTTGGACATCACAACGACATTGGAGCTTTAAATCGCTGCACCTTCTATCTAATCAGTCAACAAGCTTCACTAGCCAAACCCCTAGCATCCTGGACTACGGATATGTGCTGTGCTTGTGAAACACGCATGCAGGACACAAGTATGATTATTCACTTAACCTCACTCGAACAATATGGTGAATCTGCAAAATTCACCCTTCAAGTTTCTGCAGATTCGATACCTAGTTCCCACAGCTTTGTAGATATAGGCATGGCAGTAAGTGTAAAGGTAGAAAGTCCGCTGCTCGACTGAATACCAGTTGATAGTCGTCTGTGAGTTATTTGAATGAATAGCATAGTAAAGACTAAAAAAAACTCGCCGTTGTCTCTTTGTAGTCTCTGCTTACTCATCCACTGACTGCAATTCAGATGAAATGAAGGACGAGTTCTACTGAAAACTGTCTAACCTTCTATTGAAACAATCATTACAGGCAATGTATCTCAGGTTACTACGATACGCAAGCTTGGCCACGTAGTAGCTATTGGTCGACAGACTTTAAGTGGTACGTACTTAGGACTCTGAAGCTTTATTGGTCAGTATGCTTCCATTCATTTGTACAGACAGACAGATAGACAAGCAAATCAACGCAGATGATGATAAAGAAGAGAAGCAGCTTAAGTTGCCATGCTTCATGGCAGTATACCAAGAATAAGAAATGGATAGTAAAAACTATGCAAAAAAGTATGAAGGGAGAGGGGGATAAACACACGAAGGTCAATGAAAATAGTGAAGGCTTCGTAGATGATTAGCTGTATAAATCTGCAACACTGCGACCGATTGTTAGTTATATTAGTAAAATTTCCAACCACGACCTAGGACCACAACCGGACATTCTGCCCTTCCGTACACGGCTCAGACTAGTGATCAAACCTCATAAGCTAGTCCCACGTCTTGGTTTACTCGCTTGAAACCTTCTTCCAACCCGATTCCGCTTTGGCTAATATCTCACTTCATGGTAAGTGGTGGCTTGGTGTGTGCAAGAAGCATAAAACCCATGTGCATAAAGTGCGACTATTAAGATGACAGTAGTGTGTGGACGAGGCATGCAGCATATTCAGAATTTTTACCAAAGCGTCAAGAATACCTTTCATTATTATTTAACAGTATTATGTTATGTGTATAATGTGGGTCATCCAAGTGGCTTCTGGGCAATAAGTTAATCTCTGAGAAGCTCGATGTTAACAGAGTGGTTACCAATAACACATCAGAGCATACATTCCTGTTGGATACCACTGACTGTCGTAAACGCAGATGACAAATTTCCGTAAGGACTGAGAGATGTTAAGAATTAGTCACTAAGAGTTTTGGTGATGTGGTTTAAAACTGATTACAATGGAGTAGATGCGTATGTCCTACGGTTCTCAAAATCTTGAAGAATTTCATTAACTTTCACCTTGTTTATCCTTCTTCCTTTTATATTCCTTTTCTCTGTATATTTAAAGCATATGAAATAAATAGGTATTAACCACGAAAAATTGCTATTCTCCTTTAATCGGTCCAAATTTTTCAACATGTGTGAAAATGTACACCAACAATATCAAAAATATATTAGTGATAAGAATGAAATAAAGCCCAGATGAATTCATCTGAATTGGGCACAGCAGAATGAGCTTGATAATGAAAAAAGGTTGTCCAATCCGAAACAGAGTGCATACATTCAATTGTAACAGTCCATTGAAATCAACGTGATCTTCACAATATGCATTTATTCATTGTGAACTAAACAAAGCATTTAATTGGTCTTGTCTTCATTAGGATACATGAGGTGTAACACTCGATTTTCAATCAGTAGTCCACAAGTTTGAAATACCCAGAGAAACAGACAAAATCAACGTAGAACTTTGCATACAGGTTCATCGGCTGAAGCTGCCACACTTTATATTAGCATAAAAAGAACAGATGGACAGAAAAGGAGTGATATCAAAGTAGAAAAAGTAGTGTGGGAGAACAAACAATCTGAAGATAACGATTAGTGCAAATATTCAAGCCTTAGAAGAAGTCAAAGAGTGAATAAATCTGTGCTAATGTGACCAATTTTCAGCTATATCACCAAGAGTAGTCTCAGGGATCCCAACCAGGCAGTCAACATCTCCCCCACACGATTCAGACCAACAGTCAAGGACTTTAAGGACTGATGCCACATATTGGTCTAAGCACTCTGAACCCTCTTCTAATCTAACCTTACTTCCACTAGCATGACACGTCAAGGTAGGCTTTGAAATCTGATATATCCACTAAAAACTATAGCCCAAGCTCACTATTATACCTATCTCTCACACAAAACATAAGTAGCTCGTTGCCGCCTTAGTACTTATAGATAAAACATAACAAGCTTACTAAACCGCATGCTTGGCTGTTGTGGAATATAATCACCTAGTCATAATTCTCGTGATCGTAATTCACTCACCAACCTTGTGTATATTCATGCAGTAGGGCATTAAGCCACATTTATTGCGTGAGGGCTAATAATACTCATACCTGGCTGCCGAAACCCCAGTAGGTGGAGTGGTGTTTGAAGTCGTGATCCACTCGTTGACAGTCAACTCCCCAACCCAACGAGCCACAGCTCCACTACAATCATTTGACAGGAAACCAACCTAAGTTCTGTGATATTTGGACTTTTTTAAGTAGCTATTTTGTTATTTCAAACAAAGACAAATCCAATATGCACCACTAAAATTCACATCATCTGTTACAATTCACATTAGTATACAGAGAAAAAGTAGATAGAAAAAGAGTGGCGTCAAAGGAGAAAAAGTTGTGTGATAAAATAAAAAATTTGAAGATAACGGTTAGTGCAAATATTCAAGCTTTAGAAGACGACAAAGCATGAATACAACCAGCACCATTGTGACCGGTTGCCAGCCATATCATCAACAATCCTCAACCACTGATTCCTATCGTCTCGCAGACCCCAGTCAGACAGTCTACATGTCCCCACATAGCTCAGACCAACAGTCAGGGACTTCACTGACTGATACCGATTCTACAACAACCAACAGGAATCACCAACAAAGAAAAGGTCAATGAAATTCTTCCAATCCCTACTTTTGTTTGTTCATGTTCGATTCAGTATATCATTATCAACAACTAATAACAGTTCTTAAGGTCTCTTTAACTTTAAATTCTTCAGTTCTAAAGAGCATCATAACAGTTTACAATTAGATTAAGACAAGATGTCAGAATTCATTACACCACTCTCAACATGAAACGAATAGACTAATCATGGATTAAAACACAGTGAAAACTTAGAATAGGTAAGTGAGAACATACCTCACAAAACGAAGCAAAACGCTTACTGCACAGTGGATCAACTGTTAAACCATTGACTGCCCTAGTGGTAATAATCTGACAAGCTTTGGATGGGTCTATAGATTATATGAAAAAAAGTGAAAGAGAAATAAGACAATATGATAAGAACGGTAAACAAGGCTTGTCATGAAATAGTGAAAATCCAGTAAGGGCAACTTTATGTTCTCATTAACAAATGTATAAGCTTGTATAAGAGGCATCATATACTCTACCGATAATCTAAGTGTCTTGTCTCAATAAATTCGGAAATTTCAAATTGAATGAATTAGGCCCTTAACTATTATTACTATCAGTGTTATTATACATGAGATTGTAAAAGTCATGACACTTCTCCATCGGAAAAAATAGGAAACAGAGAGTAATCTCACTAGATCCTGATTTAGGGGATATATTACAAGAATATCAGTTATTCGCCAACTGTTTTCACATAAAGTATGGGTAGTCGGTAATAATAAATGTAATTTTACAGCAAATCAAACAAAAATTTCAACTTTAAGGGAAAGAACAAAGTAACCTTGTCCCATAATGACTCTTTAACCTTAAAATGACCAATCAGAAGTGAATGGGCTATTCACTAATTATTTTGGGTGGAAAAGCTTTAAAGTCTTGGAATTTGCATAACAAATAAAATAGTGTGGACTTTACCCAATTTCGGTTTAGGGTAAGAAATGAATATCTTATTAGCTTAATAACTGCAGTTACAAATATTCATCTTCGTTTGTTAATTCAAGTCTAGTAACCAAGACTAGGCACCAGCATCATACAGTTCGAATTTTACCGTTACTGAAGTTCAAAATCAACTTGTGGAACGAAACCTATTCAGTGCTTAACTGAAGAGAGAAGCTACTGGCTGAATAACTCGTCTATGAGTTATTAAGGAATGTTATCTTCCTTTTATTCAAACATCAAGATCAAATAGTTAGAATGAGGGTTCAGGTGTGACATCGTAGTGCGCATATTCAGTTATAACCTAGTATGAGCTGCTTATTGGTGATTTCTTCGACCCAAGGACAATACAACCACTTAGTGTGCAATTGAAAAATATCCTAAAATGACCGCAAACAATGTAATTTCTTGCAATTTAACCGAATATTTCCTTGGATGTTACCGACAAGATTTCTATTAGCTTGAAAATACGATCAACAGTTTAAGGTTACTGGAAGAGCTGCCTAAGGACGACAGAATTCTTTGAATTCACCTATTAGAGAGCCAACTTAGTCGTCAAAATCCTGCTTAACCTTTTGGTTGAGTCCGAAAACAACTTACTTTTAGAATATACAGGTTGAATTTTACTCGTATGTTGACAGAAACCTGAGAAATTGTTAAGTTAGAAGCATTCATAGAAAATAATCTGGATGAAATTCAGGTTATTCAATGCAGCCTCTTGATTACTGTCTTTGAACGATAATGATGGTTGAGGTAAAAAGTGAAGGATGAAATTAACTAAACGAAAACAGTAAAACGTTAGAAAATCTCCATCAGATTCATCTACATCGGATATTATAATCTTTCTTAGACTAGGGTCTCCAAACAATAAGAATTATCGGTTGGAAGAAGTCAACAATGCGGTTCGTAAGCGCATTGTGTTACTTGTTCACCTGTCACTAATCACTGATAACCCATGCTTTTTTACGATTTCAATTGTTCACAGAGCTACTTTCATTTTTTTTTCTAAATAGAATTAATAATCCAGAGCAGTGAATATCTTTTCAAGCAATTTGATGGATAAGTCATTCAATACTAACTTACAAAAGTGACTTCACGGTTAAAATACTCTTCCATTCACTCGTCTTTAGTTCAGTATGATGTAAAAGGGGTATAGATTTCCGAATTGTTAGACCATCTGTGCAGAGGAGGACTAGAAGATTCATGAGAAAGAGCATTCACCTTACCAGTAACAACCATAATGTTCCTAAATTTTTTGCTACACTAGACGGTGATATGGAACTTTTAATTCATTTGACTACAATACGCTTGGAAATTTATCCAACAGTTTACTGAAATCTTTAGTTTTCATCTTATTTTCAGCTAAACAAAATGTTCATCAAACGAGAATCCTTCCGAGAATAACAAAAGCAGAGTGAATTGTAAGTTTATGAGTAGTAAGTACGTAGCTAAACTATGAAGCCACGCAGCACGTACGGACATCTGAAGCTCAGTTGAGTGATAAAATGCTAAAAACCTCAGTTTCCTTTTGTTTTTTAAAACTACGGTGTGGGAAACTAAAGACGTTACGAAAATCATACGGTCCACTAAGCTATATTAGAAATAAGAAATCACATTGAGTTGTTCATCAAAGTAACAAGCCCTATATTAATAAAACTACTGTTTGCCGATCTAGATACTTATATTTCTAGAGATTAGGATTGAAACTATAAAACTTCGTGTGCGCAAATATTCAAACCAGGATGTCAGCTCAATTGAGAGATGTGAAAGGAGATTAGATGGTAAGGATGGGGGAGGTGGATAGCAGTCTGAGGAAACTTGAGTGCTGATCGAGTTGTGAGGGTGGTTGACACTTCCCGGCTGCCCACACCATGGGAGGCTATTTCTTCCTAAGGTACCTGAAAGAGATTCGTGTGACCGCAGAGCCCATCGAACATCTGCTTGAGGCTTGTCACATGCAGCCTTTTCTGCATGGTTGTTTTGGGGCCGGATGGTCGGAAAAAAAACGACTTCGCAGACCCGGTAGACCATGAGGTATGGCGGAGTATGTTATTTTGGGGTCAACCTTTTTTGTCCCCCCCCCCACTTCCACTGAGAAGGCAGCATCAGCATGGCACTGCTGGTCATCAAGGGAAACACCCTACTGCTGTCACAACCCGTCCAGCTAGTAGCAGTACGACTTCACCCTCAGATCCCCATCATAGTGTAGTAATTTACACCACAACGGTAACTGCTTTTCATCTAACCACTATCCAACAGACCTTTTTGGTATGGTAGAACCTCGAGAGAAAAAGTGTTCCACCAGCATAGCTCGTTGAGTCATTGTGATACGCAGCCCCGATCACCACGTCAAGGTAGCAGCTATCGGTGTACCGATATATTGATATGAGCTGTGGCAACTCGGACCATTACGCAGTAATGCCTGGTCCTATGATGATTTGTATACATGGATGATGTCAGCTCAATTATTTGGTGATTGAGCTAAAATTGTTAAGATTCCTAGCCAGATTTCAAGTTCGTTTCAACCATTTCTACGTTATTACTTATAAGTACAATAAGTATCTGCACTTAGTTGGATTATCTGTCTAGTCGTTTTCTCAATCCAATCCAAAAAACCCTTTATGGAGAAAGAAAATGGGTGATCGTTCACTAATCAAAATATGAGATAAACTCAGTTGGTTTGCTGAATTAAAGTGACACTAACGGCTACTCTGGGCATTACTGAAACAATTAATTAGGTTTCTTGATTTTATGAAAAAGTTACGTTTTCAGCTGGAACAAACGAAACTAGTGTCAACTAGTTTCGGCAATTCCTAAGGCGGCCTCTGGAGTAACTTTTTAATTCATTATCCATGGGTATTTGAAGGATAAAAGGCACAGGTCGCAATTACCTTCAGGTTACTCACCCATTACCTTACCAATAGAAGCAAGAAACCTAAGTGCTAGTTGATGAAGCACAAGATCTAAAGTTCCTTCCTGACTTTGATAACTTCAAACTTGAAAGCTACAAATAAAAAAGGCGGTAGGTAACGTGTATGCTAGCTTAACTCACTGACGGCATATCGTACCAAAATGTTAGAATACGAGTATAAAGACTGAATTTGGGCCTAAAATGAAACGTATTTAAACCCTCCATTTTCTTTACTGTCAACTGAATATGCTAAAATTCCCTATGAGGATTTCAGACATCAATGAAGTGAAAAACTCGAAAAACAATACATAATAATATACAAAGAAAATTCTCGAAAAATTCATAAGTGTTCGGAAACATACCAGATAAATCAAATACTTTCAAATACGTCCCTGACATTCCCGCGATAAATGAGCTTTTGGAAAGCCATGCAAATGATGATGCGGTATCTTGTATGCCTTTGAAGAACCAAAATAAAAAATGTAGATGAGATTAGCATTTTACTGATTTGATAACAACCAAAAAATATCTGACATTATCCAGATTTAGCACAATGCTAATAATCATAAAGATTTCAAGATTTTCGCTTGCGAAGCTTCACCAACTTACCAGTATCTTTCCCAGCGAAAACTATATTGTCCGTGCATCCAAGACTAATTAAATGTCCAGAAGTGAAGCTGAGGCTGGATGATGCATACGATCAACTTTCAACTATTGGGTCACGGGTTGGAATACTATCCACCTACAAAAATTTAAGCAGCCAAGTAAGATAACAACCTTCATACAAGTGTGACTGACTGCATAATGTATGACTGCATGTGGTAGTGGACTTGAGATGTAAAGTAGGCAGGTTAATGCACGAGAACTCGCTGGTAAACAGAATCAAAGTTGAAGAGAAGTGGAATGATGATGGATAACCCTGGAGAACACTGATGGTTGTCTTCACCTGATATGGCAACTACTCATAAGCTGTCAAATAACCACCCTAGAGTATACATCCTCCGGTAACAGAATATACCGATAAGCCACTAGCTTTAGGATCGGATAATGACACAAGAATGCTAAGAATCGAGATATTTAGCCACCAGTTGGTTTGAGCAGCAGTTTTTAGGACCTGAAGAACGGTTATCTGGTAGAAACACATATGATACCTGATTTTCCCAGGCTTTCACTTACAGAGTCGTACGAAAGTCTAAGAAATTGACAACTACGAACATATCATTGTGATTACTTAAAGATCCCTATCGTCCATCACAATTTAGGATGGCGAATGACTTAGGCCAGTTTGGAAGGACTATCCAGAATTTTCACAAAATCATTCTTTGATTGCTACTACTAGACTCATGAAGTCCAAAAATCCGGACCCGTCACACTGCTTGTCTTTTGGTTAACTACATTTTCAACTTCCCCAAGATTTCCAAGTTCAGCTTGGACTAAATAAACGGCAGTCGATAGGTAGCTGGATATAAAACAAAATCACTTCACTCATTTAGTTTCAACTGCTTGCTAAGAGCTTATCAAATAAGTATCATCCTCAACCGCACCATCACTAACCACTTAATTACCTAAACTATTTTTTGAACAATGACAACTAAACATTGAGAGTAGTATAACCGACAGATCATCAGAGTAGAACCTAGCATAGAAGTATATTTGTTCAAGGTGCCACGCTTTATAGGAGCATGCTAAGAAGAAATGTACAGTGAAAGTGGTTAAAGCATACAAAAGTGTACGAGAGTTCGAGTTGGATTCACTCCCCATTTGACTTGGAGCCAGCAGGGATGTTTGCGTGTACCCACTAATTCAGAAGCTACTGTGATCAACTGGCTCTTTTTAACCACTCTCAGAGTCGGCTACGGTCTTCAACGCTATTTTTATAGTGAAGTGATGAATAAATCTAAAGTTCTGTCTAGTTTTTTTGACAAACCAGACGAACTCACTAGTGAGGATGCACCAATAACTGTATTTAATAACTAGTGTTAACACCAACCTGTGTATCGTAGGATGTATATAAAAGCTGGGCACAATTACGATTTTCAAAATGTTGCGGTTTACTTGTTCATATACGTTGAAAAAAATACCTAGCGAATATGGAGAAAAGTTTTGACGTTAAGACCTCTGTATGCAGACCATGACCGAAAAACAACAGATTAACTTGAACCTCCAAACATTTCAGATTGGTTCAATATAAACCAAACGAGCATGTCAATAAACGTCCGTGCATCCAGTAATCCCTTTAAATCAACATAGGACCAGGCATTACTGCCTAACCGTCCGAGTTGCCACACATCATATCAGTACATCAAGTAAAAAGGCAGTGAAGTGGAAGATGAAGAAAAGAAAACCCAGTCAAAAGAAGTATTAAGTACTAAAAAGGGAGAAAGGAAGAATGAGAAAATGGTGAGATTCGGTATAGCGTTAAATGAGGATAGTGCGTGCATACATCTGCGCCACTGACATCGGTTCTCAGCCATATCCCTAAGAGTTTCCAACCACTGGTTTTTCTTGTCCCGCAGACCCCAATCGCCTAGTCTGCATCGCTCAACATGGCTCGAACCAACAGGCCTCATATATTTATGCCACGTTTTAGTCTGGACGTTCGTATACATCTACTTTGTATACATGTAGCTCACGAAATCAAAAATAATGGAGGCTCATTAACAGAAGATAACGAACTTGAAATAACATACCTAAGTCACATAAGGATTTATCACACACTGTTATATCAGATATCCATTCTTTCTTCGATACTGAAGAATATATAGAAACCAAGGGAGACAAGAAATGAGAATCTGGAGTATTGCAATCCAAACCGGTTAGTGCGAACGGAAGTGAATATGGATGTGCGTGTAGTCCGTTTGTGCAAACCGGGTCCCGCTCTGCAGGCTTCGTGTTGGCCGACCGCGATCCAGTAAACTTTGTTACATCCCATATTAATATAGAAGGCTCTCTGCTGTTCCGAGGCTTATCTAAACCTTGAGCTAGCTGTTTTAAATGAAAATATATGTGAAATAAAACAAACCAATAGGTACAAGAATCCGTATTAGCCTTAAAAACAGCTGTTGACAGCAACCAATACCTTTATTGTAAAACTATAACAAATACATGTCAGCTAAACTTATCGAAACGCGTCTATGTACCTCATATAGAATAATGTTAATGCCTCATCGCTGAAACTACATCATCATCTTATACACATCTTTAGTTACATCTAAACTAGAAAATTGTGCACAAGCAGAAAATACTTGTTTAAAAGGTGATTCGGACCTTCTGGAAAGAGCTCAAAATACAGCCCATCGTATTATCATTGAGATGGCTAGCCCGCAAATACGAACGACTTCAGATGCTGGGCCTTTTCTCATTGTAGAACAGACAGAGAGATCTTAATGTTATATAGGATTTTAAGAAATGAGTTTGAACCTGGTCTATCTTTATCTTTTTCTTCCTACCAGGTCATAACACACTAGATAACATAGCGGGAGTATAGAAACAAAGAATGTACTTCATCTCCGTAGGGTACTAGCTTTCACATAGACTAATCAACTCTTGGAACCAACTCCCAGAAGATGTGTCTGTGCCATTAATTGACTATTTTGATATACGACTGGACAAGCACAGATTAACATATGGTCATAGCCTGTCCTAAAACTACAAATCCAAGATAGGGATACACAGGAAAATCGAATCGAAACGCGTTGATAAACCTTCTAGATGTTCGTGCAGCAGGTAATGAGTCAAATCTATTGATGGTAAATGATACTACCTGGCTGGCGAAACCTCGGTAACTGGAGTGGTGTTCAAAGCTGTTACCCACTGGTTGAAAGTCAACTGCCTAAACTAATGAGCTACGGCTCCACTCGGATTACTCGGCAATAAGTGGTGAATGTGCCACAAGTAGTGGAAAAGATTACAGCCATTTTTACTAAATGTGCGTACATTCGTAATAGCGACATTACTGGTACAGCGTTCTAGTAGATTAGATCAACTGATCTCTTGGAGAAGAAAAAAAGCAAAACCACACTGCAGATGATTAGTTAACAGAAGACAAGTAGACTTTTTAAAACTCTGGTGCCGCCTGCACGCAAACATGATTAGGTTCCTTCTCCCTATGAGGATATGAGGAGAAACTAAACATGATGGACACTAAGTCTTATGTAGTTGAATAGGAAATATTCGATACTCAACAAGGAAAGACGTACCAAGTTACGTTTCCATGGGTTCCAAGCAAGAAATGAAGTGTTCCTGTTAAATCTAGGTGCTGCAACAAATTACGATAAAAAGAATGGAATACTCAGTTCTTTGTTTTGTAAGCCAAATCTATCCTCTTCTGCATTAGATTCGGGAAGCCTTCAAAAGACCTTATTATACACCAGTGGCGACCTACCCGACTAGCCTAACATATCCACCGCTGAGTGTAACAGCAATCAGATGATCCGGAACCACGTCAAGACTCGCTTTAGTGGTACTAGAAACCCATGTCACACACTGAAATTTAACAATTCTGAAAATGGTAAGACAAACTTGTGGGTATATGTTATTGCCCCAAATGTTTAACACAGAAATCACGAACTTATACTTCGATCCGATCACAAAACCTAACACAAAAGAATGATAATTCCCAACTCATTTCGTATACGTTTGGGGCCTTCAGAGACAGATGTCGACTCTTCTATTTGAAACAAATAAATATGCTGCTTCCAAGTAACAATGAATATATCCGACCTATTAGGTGGCCACTGGATATCCTGTTCGGCAGCATATGGCATCGTAACACCAATAGTTGAGTAGCCCTCCAATATCCAACATCCAACATCCATAGTGCAAATATAGGAAACTAATAGTTTTTAATCTTTCTTGTCTAGTTCTTGAGTCTCGGTTCTTTTTGTTCGGTTTCCTGTTGCAGTGAGCAAACAAGTATCTTATGCTTTCCTTCTTTCCTGCTTTTAGCTCTGGTGAGATCTTTTGTGGACTGGTAGTAATTTGTAGAATGGGATGGTTATGGGACTACGGACTGCTGGGGAGACCAGAAGCCCTTCATGACTCGTGTTTTTTTAGTTGCTTGAATGGGAATGGCAAGATATTGGGAAAAGGTGGGTGGGAATTACCCGGAAGGCAAAAGTAAATGGCATGAGTCTGGCTACAACAGAAGAGTTAGCAGATGAAGGTGTATCAAAAAAAGAGGCGGTGAGTGGTAAATAGAAAGGATGTATAGAAGGACGAGTGAGGCCAGTAACGTCCTGAGCACGTTGTTAGTACGGTGTACGAAATGATGTAACTGTCTCATCGTCTTTTGAATGGGCCAACTGAGGCGGCTGTTAATACACCCTGCGACAAGGTATTTCGTAAAGCGCACACTCTTAACGAGAAAAAGTCGGACCTGAGCCTGATTTTGGCCCTTCAATGTGCTATCCTGATAGGGTTTCGTCGTGATGGCCACCATGCTGTAGGCAAGGCTGGTTTGGACGGATGGTCAAGCAGGCCAAAATAAGATGACCAATCATTCCGCGATAGCCTAAATTGAGTTGGTTTGGGCGTTTTGATTTATCGCAGAACATTCTCCCCTAAGTTCGCTGGCTGATTTAGTCGAAGATTTTTGTATTTTCTCAAGGAGACTGAAGTCTTCCCTGAGTATCATAGGCACTATTGTATTGAATAATCCCAGTTACGGTCGCACACTACACTTGAAAATCGCTCGAAACAGTTCAGAAGAGAGAGCACGGATTTGTCTGCGCCTAAGGTGGTCGCTTTTGCTGCCACTCCTCTAGAGCTAGTGCCGGTGTTCAGAGTTTCAGAGAAGTTGTACCCCAGATCTTTAACCGTTGACACCTTAGTGATAGCATGGTTACTCTGTAGTGCCCAGTAAACTTGGTTATAAGTTCTATCTCCTGCAAACTTTATGTTCATTATTGACTGCAACTGAATGATGAATAACTTCTAATGTACTCGTTTGATTTTGCCCGCTGAGCTTGCCCACTAGAGTGCTTGGAATAAACGCGATATACGTCTACTACTGCCTTTTTATTTGCTACGTTGTGGTTGTCTAAAGCAAATCGTTCGTAGCGTTAGCCATAAGCCCCTGGGCCCAATATTGGTGAGCCCGATAACATGTATTGTTGCATTTATTCATCTTAATTGTTTTTCTATTAATTTTGATTTTTGTTTTGGTAAAAATATGTCTAACCTCATTGATTTTGATTCCGATGTTGTCGATGAATCCGTTTTACTGGACGTTGACATTTTAGTCGCGACTAAGAATCGATTACCAGCCTTTGATAGGCAAGGCTCAGGACTATGGTTCGCCTAGCTGGAGCATTTCTTTGACCGGCATAACGTTGAGTCAGAGAAACTAAAATATAAAGACTTGTGCTCCATTCTTCCTCTCTCAGTCAGCAAAGAGGTCCGTGATCTCATAATCAGTGCCCCTGAAGAAGACCCTTATTCCGCGCTCAAGGGTGCGATAATAATAAATTTTTATTTTCATGTTAGTAATTTAACGTGAGAGAAGCCAGTTTACAGGCATCATCATTTTGATATATATCGAAAAGTCTATAGGATTTTACGGGTCCTGAACAGCACAGGGGCGTGGTCGTTTAACTCCATCAAAAACGTTAGATGGCGGTTACGGGACAAAGAAAATACCACTTTCAGAATATGCAGTGAAGACAATAAGCCGTCTGTCAATGTCAGACAGCCAACGCATCCAACGTCTGCTACAGGGGGAGATGATGGGAGATAAATCTCCACCACAGTTTTTGGGACACAAAAAATAGTGGGAGAAATTGAGGTTGGAGAAGCCATCCTCAAGGAAGGTTGGGAGCATACACTGCCGCATCATGTCCAGTGTGCCCTTGACACACAGGACCCAAAAACCACGCTTACAGAATTGGCCAAAGTTGCCGATCGCATCATGGAGAGAGGAACAGACAGAGACAACCACTTACCACTGCATACTAGTCCTAGCTTGTCTGAAGACGCTGCCATCACCGAATTAGTAGCAAACGTGAAGTCATTGACGGAAGCTGTGGCACAAATCCAACTGAATCAACGTCAAAGAGGCAAGTCATCACTCAGGCATAGATCCAGAAGTAGACCCAGACTTTCGAGGCCGTCCGGACAATTCTGTTGGAATCGCTGGGAATACGGCGCACAATGCAAACGATGTACAAAACCATGCGACTGGCCTAAGCAATCCTCTGGCAAATAGGGAAACTGAAACCGCTTCTCAGGTACCGACTGCTGAGGAGGGGTGCCCGAACAGTCGCCTATTCTACGCCACCGACAGAAATTCTGGTATAGAATTCCTGGTAGACACGGAAGCCACTCTTAGTATTCTCCCGCGAAACAAGGTCGAGCTCGGACACCAAATGCCTACAGTCACGCTTCAGGCCGCCGATGAAACACAAATAGCGACGTTCGGAAGAAAGGCCATCACCCTGGATCTTGGGTTCGAACGGCAATTCCCTTAGGTGTTCACCATAGCAGATCTAGACCTCGCAATACAAGATAAAGATTTTTTGGAGAGGTATGAATTCTTAGTAGACACAAAGAGGCGAGGGTTGACGTTGAAGGAAACTTCCAGATACACAACAGGAAAGACCAGCGCAATCACATCCCTAAACCTGGCAATCTCCTCCAATATCAACCGAAAGGTTTAGAAATATATTGACGGATTTTTCAAACCCGACGTCATCCAACACCCAGACCTCTCACGTAAGTCCTGAGGTGACACGGTATAAAAACACATGGCCATCCTGTATTCGCAAAACCTAGGAGACCAGCTCCGGATAAACTGAAAGTCGTCAGGGTTAAATTTGACTACACGCTTCAGCTAGGCATCATTCGCCCTTCCAAGAGTCAGTGGGCTTCCCCGTCACATACGGTGGCCAAAAAAATCAGACAGACTGGCGACCATGTGGTGATTATAGAGCGTTAATCAGACAAACCATTCCTGATAGGTACACAGTTCCTCATATTCAGGACATCACTGACTGTCTTGAAGGTGCCACTATATTCACTAAAATAGACCTAGTCCGCGCACATCACAATATTCTGGTGGCCGAAGAAGACGTTCCAAAGACAGCCATTACCACCCAATTTGGTTTATACTAATTTGGGCGGATGCCTTTTGGCCTTCGGAATGCTGCACAAACCTTCCAGCGGTATATGGACGATCTTCCACGGGACTTACCATTTGCCAACGCATACATTGATGACCTACTGATTGCCAGCCGGGACATAGACTCACACAAGAGTCACCTGCAGGCCGTCTTACTAACATTAATCAACAATGGCATGGCGATAAATGAAAGTAGAAGTGTTTTCGGAGTTGAGAACATTCAATTCTTAGGACACACGATTAATACAGGTGGAATATCACCATTGCCAAAAGAGGTGGAGGTTATCAACCAGTACCCAGTACCCACTACACATCTCTGTAACGCAGATGAGAAGTTTTCTTGGTCTAATTAATTTTTGTCGTCGACTCATACCACATTGTGCACAGCACATGCAACCCTTAACCGGCGCCTTAAGAGGAAACCCTTAGGACTTTAAGCTCTCTACAGAAGCCATTGAGGCTGTCAGCAAACTGAGAGTGGCTTTGACAAAGGCTACAACCCTAAAACACCCTGATGTCAGTGTACCATTAGCACTGAAGATCGATGCTTCCGACAAGGCTGTGGGAGCAGCACTCAGGCAATTTGTAGACAATCAATGGCAGCCATTGACATGCTTTTCAAACGTCTTTCCCCACCCGTAACTCGGTGTTCAACGTCTAGCCGAGAACTGCTACCTATCTTTCTAGCAATTAGGCATTTCCGTCACATGGTGGAAGGCAGGACATTTACGGTCTACACGGATCATAAGCCACGTCGGGCTTACCACTGTTGGACCCAGGGGCTTATGGCTAACGCTATGAACGATTTGCTTTCATCATCATTCAACTTCAGTCAATAGTGAACATAAAGTTTGCAAGAGATAGAATTTATAACTAAGTTTGCCGGGCACTACAACTTCACCCCCATTAGCATTGTACCATCCTTGCCTCATAAGCACCGATGTGTACTACTTCGCACTTTTCAAATTGAAGCTCAGCCCACCCTCTGATAACCTCATTTCAAGTTGTTGCAGGTTGTTCTGGAGTCTTCCACAGTCAGCCTCTTCTCTTACCACCCTCTTTACTTTGGTTTCATCAGCACAAGGGAGGACGAGTGATGGAATTTTGTGTGGGCGTTCGTTGATGAACATCAGAAACTGGAGCGGTTTCAGGATTGCCCCAAGGACATTCTTGAAGTTGAATACCTCTGATTGGACGATATTCTGTTCACTCTTGTGTAAAACTGTCCGCCTGCCAGGTACACCCTGAACAAAGGAAGCAGAGGTTCGCTTATGCCGGCTGACATAATCATGTGAAGCAGGACTGGGGGCATGATCCTGTTAAATGCCCTATCTAGGTCCAGTCAAATAACGTACTTGGTATCTGCTTCCCACATAAAATAACCTAATAATTCCTATTGTAACATCAAGAACAAGATATTCAGCGAAGTGACTCTTGTTAATGAATTTATTTTCAAACTGTACAATCCTGTGTGTATGATACTTGGAAGATCATACTCCGTGAGGAAAACTATATAATGATGATGATGACGATATTGATAGAGCGTACGGTGACATGGGCACTTGTAATTGTAGTAACAATTAAAGTGTGACTGATAATAAAATGGATTAAGTGATGTACGGAATGGTTCATAGAAGGTATGTAACCGGG